CGATAACTTCCGCCGATCGTAGAGTCCAATGCAATACCGAGAATTTATATTGAATTTTATACTCCATGGTTATACTATAGAAACGTTAGTCACAAAAACAGACAAAACAGACACCCCTCGTTGTGTTTATGCTTTATATTAAAGTCCCCGTGAACCGGAAGTTGCAAACGATTTTTCTCCAGTGCTGTGACGTATTTCCAAGTGAAACGTAATATTGAACAGAGGGCAGGGTTTTACTCTAGCGCTCCTCCTCTCCATCTCTCGCTCATAGCAAACTAACGGTTTGAGGGGAGTGGTTACGCGTTTCCCCACCCAAGCCGTGAAACCTACGTCATCAGAAAAAGAAACCGTTCCAGACCGGAAGTAACCTTTCAGATTTTGATTAAAGATTACTAAGGTAAAACATTTTTTTAATATATATTCACTTGCACGGATTAATTGTTCATCACAAGACTAGTAATATGCGCTAACAAAGTAAATAGGTTCAATTTTGATTTCACGGGGACTTTAAATAAACATAACTATATATAAAATTGCATCTAAACAACGTATGAAAGTTTCGTTTCAAAGACGGGAGGACAGTAAATTTTGAAGACTCTGCCATAATCCCGTTTTCTTTGGTTTTCCTCCGTTTTAATCTCCCCAACCGGAAACTGACGAGCATCCTTGCGTCAAATGCGGTACTTATGCGTGCATATATAGCCCATTCTAGTCAGAACAAAAATATGTAAATTGAAAAACGGAGGGCTTTCCCATGGGACAGTGCCCACAATAGGAGATCGTATTTACTCCTAAAAAGTTCATAATACCTTGGGTACATGGCACTGAAAGGTATGAATATAAAGGTGTAACTTGTGTTTTCCTACACTCTAAAAATGCTGGGTTGTTTCACCTCAATTTTGGGTCAAACATCCACAGCAAAATCCCTAGTGTTAAATTAACACTGAGAGTGTGAATTATATAAACTCCAAGCAGTGTGTTAAATGAATACTGAAGCAGTGTTAATAATTGAATAATTGAGTGAAGATTGAGCATTATTGAAAACCGGAATTGTGTCACCATTGTGGTGATCAGTGTTTGGTTTAGTTGGGCTCTTGACCCTTAATCCATTAACTTTAGATTTTGTTAATGCTGTACATTAGTTGTAACAGCCAGGTGAACACATGGACAAGGTGATCTGATGGTATTGGTTGTGTTTTAACATAATCATTATTTCCCAATCGTTTGACCTGAACTCCCTGAAAGCCCAATTTCTGAAATAGGTTAACTTCATTAATTATACTTAATTATTGACTTCATTATCTCATTAACTTCCTCTACTTAGTTTATATAATTCACACTCTCAGTGTTAATTTAACACTGGGGATTTTGCTGTGTGGACAAACCCAGCCATTGGGTTAAATTTTTTTATTACATGTGTAGTGTCCTTAACACTTACTCAATGATTTATTTAGATTAGTTTTAGATTATTTTGTACAGTATCACTATTATGAATGCTTATGTTTTGGCAGTGAGTGCTAAATATTGAAATATTGCACACAAAAAAATATATATATATTCGGAGTTGACGGTACTCAACGATTGTTTCAAAATGAATCACATTGACATTTTAATTTATCATTTCAGTATTGTTGCTTTAAGTACACTAGTAAGTAAAACTAAATATAACATGGAGTAAATCTGGTTATATTTAGATGATTGTAGTCATGTAGTAAGATCATTATGCATAGCATTGTATGCGGTTCTCTGAATTGAACGTGGGGCCCCTTTGCTTTTCTCAATGTCAGTGTGTGAGAAAAGTTATTCAGTTATCTACACTTCACACTCTTTGTGGCTTCCTTCACAGGGCTTTGTGCTTTAACATGGATACATTTTTTCCCCACTGGCTTCAGAATCTATGATAAGAAGACTGTGTTCAGATGGACTATCAAATGTTCAGCATCAAAGGCGGTGTTCAGTCCTATAATTTATGTCCAGGAAACTATGAAAACCTGGGACATTAGGGCTTTTCCTCTCTGTGAGGGCTGAGCAGGAAAGAGGGGCCCCCTGTCAGTTCACCCCAGTTCTCAGCACAAATGGAAAGGGGGACCATGTGCTGAAGGAATTTCAGGGAAATGTGTGTGTGAGAAAGACCTGAAAGGCTGGAGGCCCCATGAATAGAGAGGGAAGCATTAAAAAAACCAAGTGATTCCATGGTCCTCGTTGGAAAGAAAAGCAGGGCCTCCCCTGTCAGAGACATTTTAAAATCACCCATGCCGAGCCAACTTGCTGTCTAGGAAAGCTCTTCTTGTCATAGCTGACCTTGTTTGTCACAGTTTTAGATGCTCGGGACAGTGTGGCAATTGATTCTGATTCAACTCATATTTTAAAGTTGCAATTTCACGTATATTTTTTTAAATATAAAAAAGGAATATTGCATAGTTTTCTTGTTGCAAGTTTGACTGGAGCAAAGTGACTTGAGGGGCCCTTAATGTAGCCCTCACATCAAGGGCCAGATGGTATGAATCAAGCCTTGAGTGATTTTTTTTTTTTCATGGTATTTGGTTTCAACTGTTCAGTTCATACCCAATCTATACACGTTTGTTCTGTCATAACGGAAACATTTAAACCTGCAACTAATGCACGTCTGGTGTGGTTTACTAAGACCAAATCAAAAGAATGACTCAGAGTTTACCAAACATGCCAAAGGCAGTGAATCTGCTCACTGGTCAGTGATACTTATTGGAACAATTACTAAAGAATTCTTAGTAAGAGAAAATGATCACTTAAAATGGTTGAGGTATGCTGAGGGTTGAAGGCCAGATGACTGGACCGGCGAAATAAAGTGCGGAAGTGGGAACATGGGCAATCTGTGCTTCAACGAAATGCATTCTGAATGGAATGCACGTTTCCTCCTGGAATAATAGAGTTTAGCCCAAAGGAATAGGATAGCACTTTAGGATTCCACAAGTATTTCACTTCTTAATGATTTTCCTTTTAATATTTCCACTCAGAATTGTGTCACTGGCAACTGGAGTTGTGTGTCAGCATGCTGGGCTAAATATAACAAGCACAGTTAAATAAGGACATGAAACAGACCAGGAAAGCCTAGTGTAACAGGATCCAGTCTTTCAGCCACAGTTCTAAACCTGATAAAGAACATTGTCTAAAAGCACAAATATAACAGTGTCTGTATAAGGGAAACTATTCCCATGTGACTGATGGCCTCCTGGAATGTTCCATTTACTGAAGAGCAAAGGACTGACTTAACTTGATTAAAACTCAACATTACGTTCAAAAAGGTTGCTATTTGTGGTCTTTACCACTTTTTATATTTAAAGGAATAATAATAATTTGACAGACAGGCAGACGAATAGATAGAGCGTCATATGGATAGATTGATAAATACTGTAAAACAAACAAATATGGCCAATAAGTTATGACAACATGTTTTTACATTGCCTTAACTCATCAAAATAACTGAAGCAATTTTCAACTTTTTTATAAGTTGCACAAGATCCAACTAATTTAAGTCAGTTTAATGTAATTTAAGTTGAAATGTCTAAAACATCCAAGCTGATGGCTATTTAGGTAAATGTAGCCCCCATGTCATCCAAGAAATCCATGTCATTCTTTCTTCAGTCGAAAAGAAATTAAGGTTTTTGATGAAAACATTCCATGATTTTTCTCCATATAATGCACTTCAATGGGAACCAAACGGTTCAAGGTCGAAAAGACAGTTTCAGTGCAAACTGTTCAAAGGGCTTTAAACGATTTCACATGATGAATAAGGATCTTACCAAGCATAACGATTGCTCATAAAAAAAGTGAAACCAAATGATTCGAAAAAAGATTCGTTCATTTTGATAAACAAGTTCAAACAGGAGAGTCACGAGCGCGCATCAAAGAACAGAGCAAGGTGACCATTTGAGCTTATAAAACTTAAACTTTATTTATTTTTTTAAAATTAAAAGCGTTTCGCTTTAAGACCCTTATTCATCGTGTGAATTCGTTTAAAGCCCTTAGAACACTTTACAGTTTGGACTGAAACTGTCTTTTGTACCTTGAACCGTTTGGTTCCCATTGAAGTGCATTATATGGAGAAAAATCCTGGAATATTTTCATCAAAAACCTTATTTTTTTTCGACTGAAGAAAGAATGACATGGATATCTTGGATGACATGGGGGTGAGTAAATTATTGTTTGTTTTGTTTTTGTACATTATATTTGATGTTACAGACATGTGATGTACATTGTTGTGTAAGTGTTCAAGAAAATGCAATAAAAACAATATTACAAAAAAAAAATCTCAGCAAAAGTGTTTTTTTTTTAAGTGAACCATACGTATTATCGTAGTCTATTTTAATTCTCAGTTGCTTTAAAGGTTATCTAATTTTGTAAAGGGGCCACTTTTAGGTTTTTTTTTTTTTTTTTAGAGTGGTCCTCCAGTGCGTCGAGCTTATGAATGAAGCTTGTTTACCTTTTTCTGGTCACGTGACACTCTCCCTCTCCATCAGTCTTACAGTTCACGTATTCTGACCAGTTTCTGACGCACCTGAAATGGAACCCGTCGAGCGCGTGCTTCACGCGTTTTTCTTTCTTTTTTTGTTAATGTAGATGACTGTGGTGGGTGTCTCGAGGCCGTGAGCTCGACTCACAGAGTGGCCTTTTTAAAAATAGCTCAGTAGCCAAAATAGTCTCGCATGAACGGCTAAGCAGAGAGATCAGACAAAGCTTCATGCAGAGAGCTGACCTGCTTCTATTATTGCTCTCTTGCAACGCTCTAGTGAGCTACATCGTGAGAACGCGAGATCAGCAAGTAAACAGGGTAACCCTTGTCTGAATGATGTTGCAGCACACAGTTCTACTGACCTCTGCTGCTCGCTCTTGGTAACTTCATTTAACTCCGTGCAATTTAGGCTACATGATGACAGGACGGGTGCCCTGTGTTGTGACTGAAAAAGAATATTCAAAATTTCATGCGTTATATTTGTTAATTTATTTTTATGCTTTTCTTTTAGATTTTTGAGGAGTTCTGATTAGCTGCTTGTATGCAGGGTATGACGACTCATTTTACAGAGGGAAAAGCTTTAAAGGTAAGAACATTTCCCTGTGGTTTTTAGGTTTAATGAGATCTATATGTCTAGGACATTATTTCAACTATTATTATCTGGATGGTTATTATCTAAACATTTCAGATGTAAGACATATTTCTTCTCATCATCCTTATATGGATGCCCCCATGTATTGCACATCTGTCACACCATATTTTTCAGAAGTCACTTCAATAATCATATTAATTTCTAGTCACTATATCATTAACCGAATTGTGTGGAATTATTTTAATAAATGTTGAATGATGTAGAATATCTGCGTGGTGATTTAAATTGCTTTAACAAAATAAATAATTATAGTGCAAAACATTGTTATATTTTGAATCATGTATGTTATATTTTTTTATTGTTTATTGGTTCTGTTTGGGAGATTTCGGAAAAGATACAGATCCAGTAAAAACTGTAATATTGCGAAATATTATTACAATTTAAAATGACCGTTTTCTATTTGAATCTATTTTAAAATATTATTTATTCCTGTGATGTCAAAGCTGAATTTTCAGTATCATTTACTCCAGTCTTCAGTGTCACATTATCCTTCAGAAATGATTCTAATATGATGATTTACTGGTCAATACACACACACACACATTTTGAAACTGTGATGCGATTTGTTTTCAGGATTATTTTATAAAGAAAGGTTCAAAAGAACAGCATTTATTTGTAATCTTTTGGACTATTATACACGTCTTTACTGTCATTTTTGTTCAATTTAATGCATTCTTGATGAATAAAAGTATTACTTTCTTAATTTAATTTTTCTTAATCTTACATTTTGAACAGAGAAAAAAAATACCAGTAAATCTACACTGTAAAAATATTTTCAAGATTTGTTATCACAACATATTTTCTTTTGTCAAATCAACTTTATAATAATTTATATAGTTGAGATAACTTATTATTTTGAGTTTCTGATGGTTAAATTAATCTACTAACTCACTTTTTCCAGTTCAATCAACTTAAAATTTTAAGGCAACCCAGGTTACTTACTTTTTTAAGTTAAACCAACAATATTTTTTACAGTGTAGTAATCACAACATTTTTTCTTTTTTCAAATCAACTTAAATAATTTATTTAGTTCAGATAACATATAATTTTGAGTTTCTGATGGTTAAATTAATCTACTTCATTGTATTAAGTCACTTTTTCCAGTTCAATCAACTTAAAATTTTAAGGCAACCCAGGTTACTTACTTTTTTAAGTTAAACCAACAATATTTTTTACAGTGTAGTTATCACAACATTTTTTCTTTTTTCAAATAAACTTAAATAATTTATTTAGTTCAGATAACATATCATTTTGAGTTTCTGATGGTTAAATGAATCTCCTTCATTGTATTAACTCACTTTTTCCAGTTCAATGAACTTAAAATTTTAAGGCAACCAGGTTACTTACTTTTTTAAGTTAAACCATCAATATTTTTTTACAGTGTACTACTGTTAACTAACTTGCAAGGTGAAAACTGACAGCAAAGAAAAGTTTGACTTTGCTTAAACTTTCTGTTGTCTCTCCGTTCTGCGGTCCAGGTAAAGAAGGAAGTGGGTGAGAATGCCCCGGCGCTCAGTGATGACGAGCTGGTGGGCATGTCGGTGCGGGAGCTCAACCAGCACCTGCGCGGGCTGACCAAGGAAGACATGGTCCGGCTGAAGCAGCGGCGGCGCACGCTAAAGAACCGCGGCTATGCTGCCAGCTGCCGCATCAAGCGCGTCACACAGAAGGAGGAGCTTGAACGGCAAAAAACAGAGCTGCAACAAGAAGTGGACAAGCTGGCCCGTGAAAACGCCAGCATGCGTCTGGAGCTGGATGCGCTTCGTGCTAAGTACGAGGCCCTGCAGTGCTTCGCCCGGACTGTCACCCGCGGGCCTCACGGTAAGGTGGCCACCACCAGCGTCATCACAATCGTCAAGTCGGCCAATCACAGCCCCAGCTCCGCCCCCTTTTCGGCACACTCGCAGTGCTGATTGACAGCGCCTGCCCAGCTCCTTTTGGCCAAACGGCTCTGAACCTTGACTGGCCCCCGCTCGACCCACACTGAGAGGAAGCTCAGTGGTAAGACTTGAGGGGAGGGCGGAGGCCGTAATCTGCGTGACTACAACAGGCTGCATCTATTTTCATATCTCTCTTTTACACACACATACATGCAAAAACATTTCTTTTTTGTCTGTGCACTGTGCTAAAAACTCCGGCACCGGCAGGGCGCGCTCACCGCTCTTTCCACTTCAACACAGGCTGAGATTTAGCAGAGATGAGCACTTGTTAAAGTGTGAGATTGTACTTGACTTAACCTGCCATGGCAGCACTGATGCCCGTGACAGATTGCAAATGCATCAGAAACTAAAATATATATATTAGTATCATTATTTTGAAGAATTCAGTACTTTTATTCAGCAAGGATGCATTCAATTGATGGGAAGGAACAGTAAAGACGTCCATAATGTTACTAAATATTTCTATTTAACTTTATATTATGGATACTGAAAAAAAATATTACAGTAAACATTTAAGAATTTCATATTACAGTTTTTACTGTTTTTTTTTTTTTTTATCAAATAAATGCAGCCTTGGTGAGCCGAAGAGACTTCTTTGAAAAACGTTAAAAAAAAATTTACCAACCACACTTTTTAAACTTTTTTTTAGAAAGATTATGTGATGGCGTCATATAGTGGCACTTTTGAAAATTTCGTCTAAATCCAACGCACATGGCACCCTTTAGCGTCAACGCACAGAGCTTTGTTCGGGTATGGTAGGTTTACCACTAGGTTAGACCACTAGGAGGAGGCTTCGGCCCATATATATCTGCGTTTCATATTGACGCTAAAGGGTGCCATGTGCTTTGGAAGCCTCAGTATATGACGCCTTGGGATGAGAACGCGTTGGAAATACATTGGCATAAATCTCATAATACATCTCTATAAAATGATATCAGTCATTGTGAAAGAGCAGTGTTTCTGATCCTGGATAAATGTCAGACAGCACAGTAAAGGGAAAATCCTTATCCTGAAGCGTTACATTACTGATAAACAGAGAAAATTAGCCAATTGGAAATGAGCCAATCCTCTCTTAGTCGGCAGTTTAAAAATACAAATCCCAAATGGGAAAACTGCACTTATTGTTACTGTTGAATTACAGTCTAATACTAGCACTTGCAAAGCAGACTAACACATGTAAATATTCAAGACTGAAATTACAGATTAAATGAGTTTCTAGAAAAGGGCACTTCATGGTGGGTTTTATAAAAAAATGATTATATTTGTTTTATGAGAGGTTAGTCAGTATAATGTTGATCATCCGGCACATCTGTGTTGTCAGTTATCTTAAAGATACACCGTTTTCCCTGACCTGTCTCTATACGACACCATAAAATGTTAGGTAATCCATATTGGATATAGTGATCACAGGAGCTGTCTTGCATACAAAAAAAAGTTTAACAATAACCTGTATATTACAGAACTGAGTTAACATCAAAACCAATCATCAAATTTAAGCTCCCAACTGTGTATAAAATTCCGTCCGCTCAGAAAGCATTCCTCAAGAAAGGTGCCACTGCCGGTGTTGGTTACACTGATAAAATGTATACAAAATGCAAATATTCGTTATTTCGACGCAGACTCTTGGGTAAGGAGAATCCTGGTGTCCTTAAAGGAGTTGTTCACTTTAAAAAAAAGAAACCTTTTGCTGATAATTTACTCACCCCACCACCATGTCCATGTCTTTCTTTCTTCAAGTCCCCGTGAAGCGGAAGTTGCAAACGATTTTTCTCCAGTGCAGTGACGTATTTCCAAGTGAAACGGAATATTGAACAGAGGGCAGGGTTTTACTCTAGCGCTCCTCCTCTCCATCTCTCGCTCATAGCAAACTAACGGTTTGAGGGGAGTGGTTACGCGTTTCCCCACCCAAGCCGTGAAACCTACGTCATCAGAAAAAGAAACCGTTCCAGACCGGAAGTAACCTTTCAGATTTTGATTAAAGATTACTAAGGTAAAACATTTTTTTAATATATATTCACTTGCACGGATTAATTGTTCACCACAAGACTAGTAATATGCGCTAACAAAGTAAATAGGTTCAATTTTGATTTCACAGGGACTTTAAGTCGAAAATAAATTAAGGTTTTTTGATGAAAACTTTCCAGGATTTTTCTCAATATAATGCACTTTACTGGTAATCAAACTGTTCAAAGTCCAAAAGAGCGCGTTCGTGACTCTCCTTTTCGAACACGTTTATCAAAATGAACGAATCTTTTCCCGAGTCAATTTGTTCATTTCGTTCATTGAATGAACCAAATGACACGCAAAAAGATTCGTTCATTTTGATGAACGAGTTCGAAGAGGAGTCACGAACACGCATCGCAGTACAGAGCAAGGCGACCATTTGAGCTTATAAAACTTAAACTTTGTTATTTTTTTTAAATGAGCGATCGTTTTGCTTGATCGTTTTGTTTCCCTTATTCATCGTCTAGATATATATATATATATAGGCTATATATTAAAGCCCTTTTAAACAGTTTGTAGTTTGCACTGAAACTGTCTTTTGGACCTTGAACCGTTTGGTTACCAAAGTGCATTATATGGAGAAAAATCCTGGAATGTTTTCATCAAAAACCTTAATTTCTTTTCGACTGAAGAAAGAATGCCATGGGGGTGATTAAATTATCAGCAAAAGTTTCTTTTAAAAGTGAACTCCTTTAAACCTGTTCAAAAGAAATTAACTTTGCATATGATCTGTCATAAATGTAAGATGGCTGAAATCAGGATTGTCTCTTACCTAAGTGACTATGATATTAGGGATGTTGTGCTGCTGGGAAGCCCACTAATATCCCCAGCTCACTGTGGGCTCTTAGCATTTTTTAATATATGTCTCCTTATGCCCAAACATGATCTAGATCTGATGTTTCCCACTGTCTCTAGTCTATAGTTTAAATGTTTCCATTTTAATGTACATAATGTCAGTTTATAAACTCAACACACTATTAGTTTTTATGGTGAATGGTTGCATTCAGATGCTATTTTTATTTTGAGAGTGCATATTTTAGGAACATGTCATTTCAGTATTCATCATTTATTTGCCATTGTTTGGTGATTTTTGTCCTGTGCAGTTGGTTTGAATGTGACCACAGTTCTGGTTGACGGGTCCTCTTTTCTGGTCGTATGTTTTTATTTTTATTTTAAATTCCTGTCTCTGCTCTCCCTTCAGGCCACAAATCCATTTAGAGGGTGAAAAAAAGGCCAGAAATGTTCCATTTGTCATATTGTGGCCAACTTTTGTTCCCTCTAAAATACCTAATACATTACATAATATCAGGATTCAGTTCCCTTGATAGGAAATGCTACATGTCACTTCATCTTCTTTATTGGATTAGACTATACTTTTTTTTGAGAAATGGAGAACTTGACAAAACAGCTTTTCTGTGCTTTACACTGACATCTGGTGGTGATCTGTATTTCCTTTTTTTCTTTCTTCAAAATGCTGTGATTGAATGCTGATGACACCAATATCTGCTCTTTCAGTCCTTGGACTATTGAGGCATTGCTGTTTTGCTTTGTGTGCATTTCAGCTGCCACCAAAGCCATAACCCATCTATGTGCTTTCTTTAAAACACACCTTATATTCTTTGAATTTGTATTGTGAGTTAAACAAAACGACACCCTCCAGTAACCAGACAGTAATGCCCTAATTCATACTAATAAGAACAGGACATGTTCTCACAAAACTATTTTGTCATTTCACAGGTTTGCCAGTGTTTTTTTTGGCCAGTTAGCAAAATCAGTAGTGACCGAGGCACTACAGGTCATCTTATGACTGAGGCCTGTGGACATTTCCTTGTTTTGAAGCAGTAAACGTTCCTCCTAACACAGTTAGATGGTGAAGATGGTCTTTAAACTAAGTGGGTACTTGTTTTTTTCAATTCTATGTATGCTGTATGTGGCCTTTTGGGCTGAATAGGATAAATTATTCTATATTTTACGTATGAATATATCTATTTTTCAAAGTATATAATATGTGCTCAATCAGTCCTTAAAGCTATTTACCCAGAACGCACATAGGAATTTTAACCAGTGCTCTTTAAAACACACTTGCCTATAAGAATCTTATAGTAACTCCATGACATATAAAGTATGCTGCTCCAAATTATTACTTTATATTTGTCAATGTTAAGATGAAACTGTAAGGTATTAGGAGTAGTCCTGTTATTTGTAGTTAAAATAGTGCCTTTAATATTGAGCTTGTCATCATTTAAGTACTGTATGAATGGGTGTGGTTGTTTTGTAAAATCATATTTCCATATGCAACCACGTCGAACAGATTTGCCTGTTTTGATCGTTCTCGTGGGCGTTGTGCTATATATAAAATAGCGATTGTAAATATGGACACCATGAAAGGCAGCAAAAACTAGGCTTAGATTAATCACATTCATGATTCTCATTAATCTGCTTGTATCACATTGATCTCTGATATTTATTTTGTTTTTTTTATTCTCATCTTCTAAATTATTTTATTTACATTCATTTGTTTTCTTTTCAATTAACTACCCTCATGTACAAATGAAATCATCCTGTTTTTTTTTTTTCCCCCATTCTGGCTAAATTTGTGGTGGTAAATTATTCCTGTACAAAGTCTGCAGTGTTTGTTTTGTACTTTTAAATAAAGCTTTTCTCATGTAACCTTGTTTGAATCTGAAGCCTTGTTTGGTGTTACATCAAAAAATGAAACTCATAAAAACAAATCTCACTCCCTTTTATTTATTCCCTAAGAGAACAGATTGTCAAACTTTATAGGAAGTTAAAATATCAGAGAGATGACTAGGTCTAGGTATCATCCAATATATTATATACACATCACTTTCTTTCATCCACTGTTAAAAGGCAGCAACCATTGGCACGAGTCATACTCTCATAATGCTGCCTCCTAATTGTTTAACAAATGACTTCTATGGCTAATTTATAGACAAAACAGGTCAGTTTATTTTGTCTGTGAATAGAACTGAATCCATGGTTACATTTTGAAGCTATGTGATAGTTTCAAAACACAACTGAACTACCAGGTTAACAAAAAGTAGATTAGCAAATACGCCAAGGAACATCTCGAAAACAAATCTTTATCCAGTCAAAACAAAGGCTGCACTCAGAAACTTCAAAAGTCAGGATTTTGAAGACTTAAGTTCTGTTTAGAAAGCACTGATGATGACTGACTTTGTGGTAACAAGTAGTTATAGCCTTTCATGACACTTAACTAAATACATTTCACCATGGACTGTTACCAAACGATTTGGGCAAATCATTAAAGAGGTGAACAAAACACCCTCGAAAGGTTAAGCAGTGGATAACTAAACATAATTTAACAACAAATTAATGGTAACACTTGTGCTACTTCACACTTAAGATGTCCCAGGTTAAAGCTTTAATTAACCAACCAACCAAACACTGGCTGAATACACATTATTTGCAATTAAATGACGTGATGATAGCAGAGACTCGCCTTTTTGCATCAGATCTCACTGTTTTTGAAGGCCTGGTGTGAAAATTAATGAACCTCCAAATCAAAGCCGGGACAGTGCTCTGTCCGTGTGGCATGACTGATACAAAGGTTTCAAAGATCCGCAGACAACAGTTTGAAGTGCTTCTCCAAAGCCAGAGCATCTTTGAGAGCCAGTTCAATTCGTCCTGAGACCCAGCAGAGAGCAGCTGAGCAAATACTTCAATCGACCAGATGCAAGAATGGCTCCCTAAAGTGTCAGTCCCTTATTCATTCCATCTGAACAGCTCCACGTGCCTCATGTTGATCAGCCATGCCTCGGAAAGGTTTGGGAGGAGAGAAGGGAATCTTCTCAATAGGACAAGATCATCCGCCAATACAGGATGAGCTTGGGACAACAATAAGTAAAACAAAACCCTTACATGACCCGGTCTACCTTCATTCCTTGTCAGGAAACTGTCCAGATCCCTTTTTTAAAAATCATGAGCTGATTTGGATGATTAGTCTCCTCATTAAAGTTAGAAAGAGTCAATTTAGTTCCGGATTAAATAAATAGAAAGATCAGGACAGATGGGAAACTAGAACTCATCATCCGTGTCGATCAGCATCACTTTGTCAGATTTCTTAGCACTCTTGGTGGTGTTGACCCCTGGTTTGCCATTCATGTTGGGTTGCACCACTTCCTGGGTGGACTGCTGGGTGTACTGTTGGTAGGCTGGGGAGAAGTTGTGGATTGCGTCCTGAACCATGTCTCCAGGGTTCATGGTCTCCTTCAGGCCACTGGATATGCTGTGCATAGGTGCTACATTCTCTACAAAACAAAACAATAGATAGAAGCGTCATATATCACGACATATATGTTTGATGACATCCGAGACTTAAAATGAACAAATCTGAAATAAGAGGCACTTTCGCACACAGTCTCATCATTAAAACCCATTACACCACAACTATATATTGAGGTCAACTATAGGCCTTCACTCCCAAAGGACTAACACATTATCCACAGGACCAGGATTGCGGCCTGGGACAAGTTGAATTGCTCAGTGTAGGAGGGAAGATATTTATGTGCGCACAGAAAGCAGGGGGAAATAAATTACTTTTGGGACTCCCGTGAAGCATACATAACTACTTAAATCCATTTTGTTTTAAAGGTACAGAATGTACTTAAAGGGGCACTTGGCAACTCTAGTTACTTGTTCGCTGATTTCCACTTTTGTTGTGGGATGTGTTCTCATCAGCTCCCCCTACAGCTGTGCGGCGTGTATTTCACAACACTGTCATAAAGAAACTCACTTGCGGCGCCTTCCTCACACTTTTTACCACTGCTCATGTGCATGTGTTATTATCGGAAACGGCCAACTCTAACGTGTGGAGCTATGTCTACCGAGTGGGTAATACATCATACACCGTATCATTGAATTATGTCGAATTGCCATAAACCAGTTTGTGTTTCTCGCTCGTTCTCGCTTCTCACGAGACCATAGCTGTCAACATTGAACATAAGGAGGAATCCACCCCCAAAATGAGGGATTTTTTAGACGATTCTTACCTTTAAACTTTAAAAATAAAGCACTAAACACTATAGAGTAACTAAACCCTAAACCAACTTTTTTTTTTAGTTAATGATTTGTAAGAATGGATCTTTATTAATACCAGTCATTGATTCGAGTAACTTTTTTGACATTTGTGTATAAATGGTTTTATTTCTACAATATATGGTGTAAAAACATCTTAGTGCTGCCCTCTTCAGGTTGAACGGTGGCTACTGCAGTTGAATTTTCCTATTGGATGTTAGCAGTTCTTCGTGACGTATGCACGTTTCAGTTCACCACGCTCTTGGTATGAGCTACGCCCTTGGCAGTATAAAAACCAGCTTGTTTCGTTAAAACCACTGTAGCAAGTCAGGATTTTGGAATTGTGTGTATTGAAAATGATCAGGATAGAGTGTTTTAGCATCTATTTTGTCCCCTCTATGTCTGCTGGGGTCTGCCCACTTTTTCAGCATTTTTCAAATATTGCCAGCGGGTGGAGTCAGGCTCTACCCAGGGGTTTAGTTACCCTTTAAAAGTCTAAAGAGTTTATAACTAGCCTACATATGTGTGAGAGAGAAAGAGACAGTGTGTGTGTGTGTGTGTATGAGAGAGAAAGAGACAGTGCGTCATTAAAAAATATACTGTATATCATAGAGAATGTTTAAATACTCTAATATCAGCTTATGAGGGAAACCGACGGGCTTTGGGGAAATGGAGGGGGAGTTAGTGGTGCTTCGGAGGCTGAGTGCTGGAGATGATTGGGAGAGGTCTGTGCACCCGATCAGAGCGCGCACTGACACAGAGTTAAGCCTTTATACTCGACGCGTCCGAACAAGCGCGGCAAAAATGACAAGTTGGGTGTGCAAGACTGGCAAGACCATGTTTCGCATGGCTGTGTACAGCTTTTTTTGCAACAGCACGTGGCGCCACGTCCGAGGATGAACAACTTCAAGCCGAATCTGCCCGAGCTTGTACGTCTCACACAATCATAGCATAAAAATATGGGATATTTTACGGGAAACAAGAAGACAGCGGGAAAAGAGCTGACAGCTATGCATGAGACTTCTATTTCCAACTTACTGGGGACGTTAGTCCTCATGTTGCAAGGTTGGTTTTCCGCCTGGGAAAGCTGGGGGGAGCGGGGAAAGCCGCCATTCTCTCCAGAACAGGTTATTGAACCATTCAAATGATTTCTGGTTTATTAAGTTGAAATAAAGTGCCAAGTGCCCCTTTAAGTGTATGTTATTCATTTACTCAACAATAAAAAACAAATGGCACATAGTTGGATATTTTCCAACTGTAGGCAACAGTGAAGGAAGGCATCCTTGTGTCTGATAAGACAAATACAACAAGCTGAGGTTTGAAGTCTGGAAAAACTAGAAAAAAATGGCATAAAATAGAGAGGGAATACAATTTTACAGCCTTTTGCGGGAGGAGGGAGCTGGACAAAATATGAAAGTTGTGGGTTGGTGCAGGACAATATATAAATATATATATATTATATATTACTGCTCCTGCAAAATATATATATATATATTTTATTTTTTTTATTTTGCAGGAGCAGGACAGAAGCTACTAGCATACTGTGTGAAAGTAGGGACTGTTAAATCCAACCTGAGTCCAAATGACTTAGGAGTTCCCCAAGGGTCAGTTTTAGGACCGATATTGTTTTCAATGTATATAAATGATCTCCCAGATTGTTGTCAAGGTGTAAACTGTCAGCTTTATGCTGACGACACCGTTATCCATGTGTCAGCTAAAACAACCGCAATGGTTGGGCAGCAGTTAACAGAGGCTTTACATAACATCTCGAAATGGCTTCAATTGTCCCATTTAACTTTAAATGTTCAGAAAACCTTTTCCATGTGTTTTTCTATCAACCGGAGGTCTCCTGACAGCATCTTTGAAGTTCATTTAGACCATGAACCCATCTCTGAGGTTAATGAAACGAAATACTTGGGCATAATCTTGGACAGACACCTGAAGTTTCAAAGTCATGTAAATCATGTTTGCAGGAAAGTTAAATCAAATCTAAACTGCTTTCGTTTCATTAGAAGAGAGTTGCCACATCATGCGGCTTTATTGTTTATGCATGCAATGGTTTTTTTACATTTCTCATATTGTATTACTGCATGGTCACAGACATCAGCGTCCACTCTGAAACCAGTTATTTCTCTATACAAACAGGCAATTAAGATATTTGACAAAAAACCCATGATATACCATCATTGTAATATTATAAAGAAGCATAAGCTTTTTACTTTTGAAAACTTTGTAAATTTTAGTATTTAGAAATTGACTTTTAAATGTTTGAACAACTGTGTGTCACCACTGTTCTCTGGCCTCATAGAGAGGCGTCAGGGCTCTTTAAGACCTTCCACCAGAGCCTCAGTTAGTGGGGATTGTGTGATACCGAAGTTTAGAAAATCTTTTGGTCAGTCTAGCTTCTCCTTCAGAGGGGCTACACTATGGAATTCTCTCCCAATTGGACTCAAACTGCAGAGGAATATTAACATCTTCACCAGAGACCTTAAACAGTGGCTGAAATCGGGCCAAAGTTGTTCCCATGTGTAAATGATCTTTGTCTTGTTTTATAATGTGTTTTTATCTGTAGTAAAAGCCCCTATGGACAGGTGTTGAAAATTAGCACATGTGCTATTACACTTTAAACAATGCATCTGGTTCGTCCAATGTTATTGCTATGTCCATATTAAAAAAATAAATAAATAAATAAATAAAAAATCTTGTGGCACTAAAAAAAAAAAAAAAAAATCCAACTAAAATCCACTAATCCATTCAACAGAAAGACAATGTCTAATGAACAGTAAAAAAACATTCCCAAGTTAGCAAAGCATAACGGTCATTTCACATTTCTGAGGTATTTTGTTGGTCTGGATTACACAATCTGTTAACAGCCAGTGACATTCCGACACAATGCAATCTTGCTATTATCCTCACTCTTGTGAGCACATCACCACAGGCACCGCCAAGGTCCAACCCAGCTGTTCGCAAAATAGAAACGGGGATGAAACCACTAGCAATGCACTGATGTGTTTGGCAAATCACTCTTCAGCTTCATTTATCTACGACAGACTAGAGAAGCCAAGAAAGAAATTCACAATCCTACAATTCCCAGATTTATCTCAGCTGTGGATGTATTAAATAAGGTTACGGAGTAAGCCTGATACACTGCAATATGATGAGTTCCAGCAAACTGCATTTTGCCTTGTGGATGATGGATGAGCGCTTATACAAAGGTGACGGCAGGCAGCCACTAGAGGGGTGAAAGTTTCTGACCTGTGCTTGTTGCTCTCCAGCAGCCAGCCTGAAAACTGTACAGTGAACGGATGGATGTTTTGGGACCTGACCCCATGGAGGGTGAAAACTCAGGATCAGCAAACTGTCCTGAACTTCTTCACAGGTGGTCCGCTAGGGAGAAAAGGCCATCCTGGAAGGTTGCTCTACCTAACAGACTTCATGACAGTCGTGGCCTTTTTATTAACAGTGAAAGGTTATGAAACCAGCGGTGACTTCACCCTTTGAGCTCAGTGTTCAACTATGGTTAAAAACTCGAGGGAGTGCAATTCAGCAATAAGCCCACAGTGAAAGAAGACCTTGCACTATCTGAACATTCAAAGTGAGGCTTGAAACATGCACATCTAACTGACAGTCAAGTTATATTTCATAGAGGCCTCTTGAAGGCAGAACACAAATCTAATGCAGCTTTTAACATTCAGCAGCTGAACTGACATCACTGCTTAATTTGGTGGAAATTGAAAGCGAACTATTCTTCACCACCTTGAAAAGAACAAGCGACAGAATATGACTAATCCGTTAAGCGTGGAGAGGCTTTTGTAGCTCTAAGGATATGACCAGAATGATATACTACTAGCATACTGTTTTCTGCACAGTGCATACTATATACTGCCAGCTTTTAGGTAATAGTAAATAATTCACAATCATCTGATTGACACCCCAATATCGTACAAGGCAGTATTGCACCTTAATACTGGTTGCCATCATTAAAGAAAAAAAAAAGGGAATGACAACGACGCAGTGTAGCTTCTACTGATGAAAGAAGAGATGACAGACAAAAATCGAGCCACTCTACCCACACTTGAAATATTAGGTTCTCCAGTGTGGGAGTTTTTTTGCATTTCGGCGTTCGTCGGCTTGATGATCTTCAACCAGATGTAACTGAATAATATTCTGATTGTTCTAAATCCAATCTGACTTCTGACCTGTAATGCTGCCAGAATCATAATCATACACTGTTCGTTCGTTGCCCAGAGGAGAACTGGCCCCCCGACTGAGCCTGGGCTCTCCCAAGGTTTTTTCCTTCATTCTGTCACTGATTGGAGTTTTGGTTCCTTTCCACTGTCACCTTTTTTCAACTTTTTTTTTTTTTGCCCATGGCTTTCGGCTTGCTTATACCTAGTTCAGACTGCACGATTTTCAAAGTAGTCGGGTCGCTGTTAAACCCTGCATGACTATCTTGGCCAGCATTCAGTCGCTGCTGTGTTCACACTGCACAATGGATCGGCGACAGAAGGTTTCAAAGCTTGACTTTACAATAGGAGAAAAAAAAAAAACGAGGACAACTTTGTCTAGCACGCTGTGTGCAAACTACATTTCACAACAAACACACGTGAGATGCGTTTGACCAGGAAACAACCCGACACCACACGTGCAAGGCCGGAGTTCTCACGTGAAACTTTTTTCTTTTTCGACCCGGTTGTGATCCAGCTCAGTTGAAACATCAAACAGACACGAGTGCTCCTGCCGAATTTCTACTATTTTTTCTTCCATTTCTTGGGTCCAAATAGACCGAGAATAAGCCTTTTTCTGAAACAATGCCATGCATGTTGTATGCATGATGCATAACTCCTCCCCGAACTCCCCGCTGCTCTGTATCTTGCTCTCTCATTGGCTGTCGGTAATCGCTGATGTAGTTTTCAGTTTTTCAGTCAAGACACTTTTCACACAGCAGGATTTAGATCGCCGACAGGTCCAGATATTTAGCATGCCAAATATCTCACGGGCGTCGGCAACTCGTCGGCAATTCTCTCAGATTGCGTCTTTGCTCATTCACACTGCGTGATTGTCACTCGCGTGAATGAGCGTCGATTTGCCTGTGATTTTTCGGCGATTTCTCAAAACCTGTCGGCGAGCCAAAATCGTGGCTAAAATAGTGCAGTCTGAGCTCGGCATTAGTTGGGGACAGCTGGATGATAATATATGTATATATATATAGAGAGAGAGCCATATATATACATATATGTACTAAATTAACTTTTTTACAACAGAAATGAAACATCACTGAACTTAAGCTGGACTGTGATGCTATTTTCTTCTGGAAACAAACTTTGTTTTAAAGCAGCTTCACAGAGATAACAGGAAAAATAATGCAACAATCTGTATTGTAAAAAGCATTTTGATTGTGATTCAGTGAGCAAAAAAAAAAAAAAGAACACAAAATACATTTAACGATGAATTGACCGATATAATTATTTTCTTCAAAATTGCTAGTTCTTGCGATAATATCGTTACCGTGAATTCTTTTTGCCATTATAATCGTGTAGCCAAAATCTGATATTGTGACATCCCTACTGCGAATTTGACTGTGAATAACAGAATTGTAATTTTAGGCTAAGCTATTCCTTGTCATCCGACCTCATTATGCTGCAAGTTAAATTCACAACAGAAAGTTTTACAGCAAGAAAAACACCCGCTGAAGATTTCGTTCAAATGGCATCATAACAACATGCTTTGAGCATGAGTTTCTCAGTACACAGGAGTTTTTTTTTTGTTTTTTTTATGATTGTGTATTGCTGGTGTGAGTGGAGCTTTCCAACAGTCTTCTGAACTGTGAGTCATAACCCTCCTGAGGAAGGAAACTTCAAGTTGCCTCATAAAGGCTTGCCGAGACATGTTTCTAAGATCATCTAAACTTACCTTTAAAAACTAGTTAAAAAGTTCTGCTATGTTTTTCCAAAGTGTCAAATTTTCAAGCTTCTAACCTGGTGTTTCACTCTTCTTCTCGCGGTACACACTGGAGGTGAAGGCGTAGCGGAGGGCGATGGCGCCGAAGAACATTTCGATGCAGATGATGAAGTTCTGCCAACCGGCTGCCACTGTACCAGCACCGACCTCATGACCATCAATGACCAGAGCTTCTGGGATCACACCGCAACGCTCCAGAATGGCCAATACCATACCTGAGAAAAAGACAATCAAAGAAAAAAATTTGCATAGGCCAGTGTTTCTCAACCTAAATGACTCCAATGGGCCCCACCAACTACGTTTCCATCCAAATTTCCATATTTAACTTGTGCACAAAATTGGAATATCATAAAAAAAAAAACAATTAGCATCGTTTCATCACCAATCCTAGGAAACTGCCACATAATATGTGTAATCAAATTGGAATTTACTGTAATCGGGAAAGCCACTGTGTCTCTTTTTTCCTACATCATACAACCCTGACATGTTATCTTACATTCGGATGCTGGTGTTTGGGAAAACAATCATGTGAGACGCTTCTGTGAGGGAATTAATCCAAATCATTCTGATGACAGACTTTGGCTAAGGCGTTTCAGAATGAAGCTTTACAATGAAATTTGGTTGAGGCAGTCACGCAAGTTGCACATCGAGGGATTTATTCGGTAAATGCATTTCCATTATAATTTATGCTCATGTCATCTTATTGGATAAAACAAATGATCTGCAAATGGGTGCATATGCTTTTTTATGCACAATTTCATAATTTATGCTCATCTTGGCATTTCAATCTATCGATTTTTCATGCAATATCCTAAAATGCGCATAAAATGGATATCGAAGGCCCCATGACTTTTCTAGATGTTCATTATTTACTAGATAAGGATAAGGGTTTGTAAGTATTTTTTACTTACAATTTACCCTGTATAGAAAAACATACATTCATAAAATGTATAAACATGCTTTATTTATAGGATTTATAAGACTTTTTCCAGGACTACATTTTAATAATTCTTAAAGGAAAAAAAGTTGTTGAGTGGGTGGGTTAAAATAAGAAATATATTGATTTTTTTTTAAAGCTTATTTTAATGCTCATTTAATCTTGACTTTGAAATTAAAGTCATCTCGAGGCCCCCTTAGAAGTTTGCTGAGACCCCCTGGTTGAGAACAGCTGCCATCGAGCAAATAGTATTTTCGTATTTTTTTAAGGTAGAGCAAGTGCCACATAAGTTTTATGAAAAAAAAAAGAATAAGTACATTGACAAACATGTGACATTAGTAACAAAATTGTTGTTCGTAGTAGTATTGTACTTGGCTTACAAAAGTGTCAATAAACAGCTTGAGATGAATACTGGACATATAAAATAAGAATGCAGAGTAACCCACCTTGCCAGAATGAGAGGAAGATGACAGATTTGATGGTGAGGAATTTGAGCACAGGCTCAAAAGGTCTTAGAAGGTCACTGGTGGCGAAGAAGAAGAGGAAGAGGGCATAGAGAGCCAAACTGACAGAGATGTTGTAGATGATGGTGATGTATAGATAACCTCCGGTTACACTATATGAAGAGAAACAACAAGGAGTTAAGCACAGCTCATTTAAAAAGGCAGATGTTGTGTTATTTATAAGGGAAGCTGATACAAATGAATGACAGGGTGGCTCACTTAAAATCTCCATCGTGGTATTTGCCAAAAGCCTGCAGAAGGATGGTGATGACAGCCATGATGGGCTTGATGACACAGAACTGAAGTGTGGCCTAGATGACATTAGTAACAGAAGCCAATGAGTAATGGTGATGGTTTGGTTTTCATGGCCCTTTAATATAGTTTGAGTGATAGAGAACTTCCAGTCCTCATTCTTTTCAAAGGCATGGTAATGTTACATGCTTATTTTTGACAGCCAGTGCTTATTTCTTACATAATCAACACAAAGTTTGACATGACTGACAAATCCACTCATTGAGAATGACGCAAAGGAGAATTTCCCCCCAATTTCGCCACATGCGAGTCGGAATCGACTGCTTAAAACATCAACGTGGAATTCAAGTTTTAAATCGAAGCTGTCTGTGAGAAAAGCCGTCTCAAAATAATCAAAGTACGCTCCGTCTCCGCTACAGTGTGGCATATCGCGAGGTGATGCTTTGATCCCACATGTAGGCGTCCGGTCATACAGATTTATGGGTTTTGAAATTTCACTTCCTATTAAAAAAAGTTAGATTCACGTTCTTTTCAGAATGGGGGATGGGGCTCTCAAGTCCAATTCCCATCAGTATTATTCTCAAAGTATGAGCGAGTTCCTAACACGCAGACAGCATCAGTCTGCCAGCAATAGCTTTTTTTTTGTGCTTATAATCAAGCGACTTGCACCTGCTTCCTACTCTACATTAACCACCGGAGCTGCTCAGGAAAGACAATGTTACAAAGATAACAGCTGCTACTTCAGGACAATTCAGGTAGAAAAGGTGGATAAAGGTTGTGGAGACAGAAGACCCAGAAATTCGGACCCTCTTATTAACATTTACGCTATTTACACATCGCCGTTTGCCTTTATACAACAGAATGGGATATGAGACTTAAGCGGGGTGGTGAGATCACACTGAAAATCTGAGATGTAAAACCTGGAAATAAGCTAAACATTTCAGAATATTTTATACAAGTACAAAAAAATGTTGGATTTTATAGAAAAATAGGACCAAACCTGCTTGCAGAATCTCAGGAAGCCAATAGAGTAACTAATTCCTCCTAAACAGCATGTCCCATATAGGCAGCTGGACCTGTTAAAGGCAAATGAAGAGGAACATGTAAAAGGTAATGCTATTCTTGAGAGTAGTTTGATGAATTGATCTCTTAAGACACAGGCAGGCGAAAAATGATGTTGCACAAAAAATAGAAAATGCTGTCAGAGCTTTAACCTACAGTAGAAGTTAACAGTAGAGTCATGGTGGCCATGTGGGCGATGATGACAACCAAATTTAAAATGAAAGTGGTGGTCACCATACTTCCAGAGGAGCGTCATGAGGTGTTTATTATATCCAGTGCATTTTCTGCCCACATTGTCCACATTTGATTTTTGTTTTTTCCAAGCACTTTACAACGCATTGTGGAACTAGAATTTTGCCCACCCTTGAATTTGGCCAAATTTAAGCATTTTAGGAGGCAGCATAATTAAAGGGTTAGTTAACCCTATCATCATTTACTCACCCTCATATCGTTCCAAATCTGTAGGACATTTGTTAATTTTCAAAGACAAGATATTTTTTATAAAATCTGAGAGCTTTCTCTCCCTCCATTGACCAAAAGTTCATAAAGAGATCGTAAAAATAATATGAATTGAGCATTTTAGTAAAAGTTTTCTGAAAAGTCTTGATGAAGAGATTGATTTTAGGCTTATATTCACAAATTGCATTATATTTACATACATATAATATTCATCAACACACACATCTGTTGAGGTAAATTATTGGGTGAACTATTGCTTTAAGCCTTTGCAAAGGGAGCACACCTACCATGCCTTAAAATGCTGCTCACTATGTTTATTCCCATAACATTGATTTTTATATAGATATACAGTATAGACACTCACTGAATGGGTTTTCCTCTTATTTCCGACATGATGGCACTTTCTCCCCCGAGGTACTCAAAAGACAGACTCAGGAAGTTGTATATCACAAATGCTTGAATAATAAAAACAAAATAATACATGAGAGCCTAACTTAAACAATTGGCAGTAAGAATGATAAGCATAAAGAACATGTTTGACATGACAAAACATCTCATCACACATCAAGATTGAGGAGTTGTTTGAGTCCAGAAAATCCATCTTAACCTAAGAGGTCTATTTAAAGACAGATTAGAAGGTCAGATCTCATTGTCTCTCAGTGTGTACAACTATTACTTATAGTGAGAGTTTACCGATGGGAGACTAAGACTTAACATCTTTAAAAGTACAATTACATTTATATTATAGCGCCTATAAAAATAATTTAATACTTTATTCAGAAAAAATGCATTAAAGTGACAGTAAAGCTAAATAATTTTGGCTTCCACAAAATTATTAAGCACCTGTTCACAACACTGATGAGAAATGTTTCACCAAATCAGCATATTAGAATGATTTCTGAAGATCATGTGAAACTAAAGACTAAAGTAATAGTTTATTTTTGATCAAATAAATACAGCCTTGACAAGCAAAAACGACTTTAAAAAAAATAAAGAATACAACAAATATTGCTTTATAAGTATATTGACTAAAATGGTTCAAGTGAAATAAATCCCCACACTGGAATGTTCCCATGTAACTTAAACCGAAAAAACTGTTATAAATAGTCATTGTCTAGCAGCAGTGGGATAGGCCTGAAAAGATGATAACAGAGACATTTGGCTTGCCTCCTTTCTGACTGTGCCATGACCAACAGGTTTGTTCAGTTACAATGAACATGTATCTATTTCCCCACTATGAAACCTGCAACCCTACGTCTGTAAAGCAGGCTCTCCTCCCTCACTGCAGGCCAGACTTAAAAACAACAGCACACGTCATTCCACCAGCGCTATATCTGTGCTAAATAATATTACGCCCGTGAGGCAGAAGAGGATGTAAGGGCACAGAGCAGCTCAGATTTACTGTACCTTCATAGCAGTCACGAACAGAGTCGAAATACACATAATACTGGTCATTACTGATGAACAGCAGGCTGAGCCAGGAGTCGAAAGAATAGATGGGGACAATGAAGAGGATGCGAATGATGTAGCGCTGCTCGTTTGGCACCGTGTACGACCTCAGGTGCAAGTATATCTGTAAAGAGAAAACGTGTGTTAAGAAAGACAAAATGTGCTCATGCTTGACCACAAAAATAAATAACAAGTCTGGCTTAAATTGCAAAAACAGTGAAATGCAAATGATTAAAATGTGCACTGGAGCAGATGAAAAAGTGGCAAGAAAACAAGTGAGCTGCATTTCATCACTGCTATAGTAACATGTTTGGGGAGAGAGCTTGACAAACTGGAGCTTGTATGCGGTAACACCAGTGTTGTTGAAATAACAATAAACTGATAAAAATGTAAAAGTCTATAACAGTTTATGGACGGTTAACAGAAATCAAACAAAGCAATATTTACCACACTAATGCTGACCGGATATTAACTACACACTTCAAAATGAAAAACGTTGAACACCACTGACATAATATGCACTTTTTTACTGGTGTAGTAGCTACAAACAGGCGTCATCTTTTTTATTTTTAGCTTTATGACAGGTGGCAACCAGGCACAGAATTATGTTTATAGTATGTGCAGTATTACCATGATTATATGCGTTTTAAATATTGCAGTTACCATACAACACATTAAGTTTATTATTATTCTCATTACATATTATCTTACTGCAGAACTGGTGCTACTATGAATAGTGGCATTTTTGGATACTATTATGGTTTATTTCTTTATATTTTCAGTTTTCATTTTAAGTACGTTTTAGTATTTTTTTGAGCGTTTTGTCACTTTATATATATATATGTATATATATATATATATGTGTGTGTGTCTGTGTGTGTGTGTGTGTGTGTGTTTTAAATGTCTATATTATTTAAATGTCTATATAATGTCTATAGTATATACTATTTTATTTTAGTACATCAAGTTAAACTAAGTGAAAAGAAAATGTTTTTGCAATTAGCTGAAATAAAATAAGTTGAAGTTGCTCTATACATTTTATTTCAAGTAACAAAAATGTATTTATGGTTATAGTTTTAGTTTAAATAGAATAACCCTGCTATGAACAACCCTACCCTTGGGACAGGGTAAAAAAAAAAAACACACAGTTGCCCAGCCTCTCGGGAACCTAGTGTCAGAGTTGCATGTACCCCATGCACACCGTTTGACCATTTGAAACTTAAAATAACAAGAAAAAACAAATGAAAACTGACTAACTCCAAATGCATTTCAATGGAAGTGGAAGCAGAGCATGTCCGAGTCTATTGGGTTAGCTGCGCACTGTGATTGGTTCATCGCGTTTGAAGGTGTGGCTTAACCATAGGTCAATTAGAACTGCTGCTCTCCACAAAGTTGACCTAGGCTATTAGAAGATTGGTTACAGTACAGGCCAGGGTCATACAGAGGTTTTCCTCGCAAGGGTCAATCAAAGAAGTTCAGTCCTCATGCTGTGCGTCAGGTCCAGAAGCTGGCTTCAAAAAACAGACGCATAATCATACCAGCATTGTTTTAGAGGTTGCAGAGGCAGAAGATCAGCTTGTTAGTGCTCAGACCATAACTTGCACACTGCAACAAGTCGGTTTGTATGGCGTTTTCCCAGAAGGAAGCCTCTTCTGAAGCTGGCTCACAAGAAAGCCCACAAAGTTTGCTGAAAGTAACTTGTCTAAGAGCATGAATTACTGGAACCATGTCCTGTGGTCTGATGAGACTAAGATAAAATTGTGTGGCTCAGATGGTGTCCAGCATGTGTGGCGATGCCCTGGTGAGGACTACTGAGAAAATTGTTTCTTGCCTACAGTCATGTATGGGTGTGGTAGCGTCATGGTCTGGGGCTGCATGAGCGCTGCTGGTACTGGGGAGCTGAGCTTGAGGGAAACATGGATTCCAACATGTACGGTGACATTCTGAAGCAGAACTTGATGCCCTGCCCTCACTTCAGAAACTGGGCCAAACGGCATGATAATGACCCCAAACACACCACTAAGATGATGACTGCCTTGCTGGGGAAGCTGAAGGTGATGAAGTGGCCAAGCATGTCTCCACTTACTTGTCTCAACAAGTGACAAATATGCCTTCATCAGATATTTTACTTTTTTTAAAGGTTTTAAATTTAAAATGACTTGGTAGCAGAGGGCCCCATGATGAGTCTAGCTCTGCCCCTGGGTAGCACACATATTCTGAATGCCTTTTATTTGGCAGAATTCAAATGGGCCATTTTTGAACCAAAAATAACCTATGCCCACCACTAATATCCAGTCCAATATATATATATATATATATATATATATATATATATATATATATATATACAGTGCCCTCCACAATTATTGGCACCCCTGTTTAAGATGTGGTCGAGGACTTTTAAAAATTCTCCCTTTTTTTTAAACAACATAGAATCCAAATGCAAAAAAAGAGAAAAATCCAACCTTTTATTTAAGTACATTACTTTGGTGGTAAAAAAAAATTTAAAAAAATAAAAACTTCAAATCATGTGTCCCACAATTATTGGCACCCCTGATGTTAATACTTTGTACAACCCCCTTTTGCCAACAAGACAGCACTTAATCTCCTCCTATAACATTTCACAAGATTGGAGAACACAGAGAGAGGGATCTTTGACCATTCTTCTTTGCAAAATCTTTCTAGATCATCCAGTATCCTGGGCCCTCTCTTGTGCACTCTCCTCTTTAGCTCACCCCACAGGTTTTCGATTGGATTGAGGTCTGGGGACTGAGATGGCCATGGGAGGACCTTGAGTTTGTGACTGAACCATTTTTGTGTAGATTTTGCCACACGTTTTGGATCATTATCCTGCTGAAAGACCCAATGACGACCCATCTTCAGCTTTCTGGCAGAGGCCATCAGGTTTTTATTTAAAATGTCGCGGTAGTTCAAAGCGTTCATAATGCCATGCACCCTAACAAGGTTCCCAGGGCCTTTGGAAGAGAAACAGGCCCACAGCATCACAGATCCTCCACCATACTTCACGGTGGGCATGAGGTACTTCGGCATACACATCTTTTGTTTTACACCAGATCCACTTAGAGTGTTTGTTGCCAAAAAGCTCAATCTTAGTCTCATCCGACCAAAGCACATGATCCCAGATGAAGTCCCAGTGCCGCTTGGCAAACTCCAGACGTTTACGTTTGTCAGTGTTAGTGAGAAAAGGCTTTTTCCTAGCATGCCTCCCAAACATCTTGTTGGCATGTAGAGAGCGTCTGATGGTTGTTTTGGAGATTTTGTGACCCCAAGATGCCACTATTTGATGCAATTCTGTGACAGTGAGCTTAGGACTTTTTTTTACTTTTCTTAGCGTCCTCCTCACAGTGCGTTGTGGCAAGATAAACTTGGGACCTCTTTCAGCCTTGTTTGTCACTGTTCCTGTTGTTTTAAACTTCTTAATGATTCCTCTAACTTTAGATATGGGCAATATAAGGTGAGTGGCTATTTTCTTGTAGCCATTGCCTGACTTATAAAGGTCATCACACATCTGCCTTACTTGAATGGTGTGTTCTCTTGTCTTTGCCATGTTGACAAATGGGTAAGAGAATTAGGCCTCTGTGTCATGTCATATTTATACCCCAGGGAAATAGGAAGTCATGAATTACTAATTAAAAGTTCCTAGATACCCTGACCAACATTAGCAACTACAGAAAATATATATTTTTTTAAAAATCAATTACATTTTTCAGCGGAATTGTTAGGGGTGCCAATAATTGTGGGACACAGGATTTGAAGTTTTTATTTTTCTAAATTTTTACATTTTTTTTTACCACCAAAGTAATGTACTTGAATAAAAGGTTGGATTTTTCTCTTTTTTTGCATTTGGGTTCTATGTTGTTTAAAAAAAAGGGAGAATTTTTAAAAGTCCTCAACCACATCTTAAACAGGGGTGCCAATAATTGTGGAGGGCACTGTATATTGTTCAATTGGGTCAAAAACTCAAATATCCCCTCTGGACATCACTTTTGGCCACTACTGTTGAGTCGCATGTGTGCATATATCGGTAATAGTTACAAAGTTTATATTCTACCTTTCTCTATGGAGCTTGAGATGAAAGCATGTCCTTAAAGTCCCTTTTGAACTTCACAATATTACTAAGGGGGCTCAATATTCACTGGGCACTTTAAACTCTTGGATACTCAATCATTTGAAATCAGATTATTTGAGTCCTTCATGGAGGCTTGATGCATTTGTGGGCTCTCGAAAAAGCAAGGGAAGTTGCTCTCTGAACTGATGTCCTCCATTTCACCTAGCCTGCAGGGGAAATAAGTTCACAGCCTCCCAGACTCCATAATGTGGAGCTGACAGTGAGAGAGAGCTGCGCTCACAGTAATGGCCCTGGCCATTGACTGTCTGCTGGCTGACGCAGAATTGGAGCCAAAGCTAATTACAACCTGTCTGAAGCAGAGAGGAACTGCTGGTGGAGATGTGAGGCCCCCCAAAACAAGAGCCGGTGAATCACAAGGTGTACCACCAACTTTAAGACCATAAACCTTGTAAAAACTACAGAGCTGAGAATAGGCAGACCCAAGAGTGCTCCTGGAGCCTTGTCAATGCCATATATAACAATTCACTTACTGTAAGAGGGGCTGGCCCAGAAGGTGCTTGTGTTCTAACTAGCTGGTTTTCAAAGACTCCTTTGATATCCCTGGCACTGACGGGAAATTTTTGCAGGCAAATTAGTCACTTTAGAACAGTGTGTTTTAGGAACGCAATCTCAATTTCTGCCTTTAGTATGCGGAGCGCAAGGCAAGCTCCGCCGGGAGAATCTTTTGCCGAGAAGCCGAGAAAGGCTGTGAAATACTAAAACAATCCTGAGGGCTCCTTTAATCTCCTCAGGATTTACATATGTTGCTGTTTGCAAAGCCACGGATGAGGAGTCATTCAGCTTCTAGGCTCAGGGACAAAAAAAAAAAGAAGACTGTTTGGACTTGATTATGACTTGAAGAGGAAAATCATGACACAGGGACTCCTTTTCAGTCTCTATAGAACCGCGACGTTGCTTGGCCGCTTCAAAACTGCCAGCTTCTCAGAAGTGTTGGCTTTCGTATGGCACACAAGATGCTTTGGAGGCAATCAAAAAAAGAATCCATCGGGGACACTGTGGGCGCTGCAATTCAGAGCTGAAGAAATACCTTTCCTGACCTCTGCTCTCCATCAGTACGATCCCAGTAGTTCAATTACATAACGGATGCTTGAGAAACATATTCTATATTAAATTTCTTCATGGGTCATATAGGCTGCAATGAAAAGGGATTCAAAACATACCAGCAAGAGCAAGGAAATTAGATTTCAACCTTTTCTGAAACCGAACAATGTCTGCAAATATAATTGGTAATTCAACACACAAGACGGGTATATTCATACTGTGCCGGCACTTCACCTGACAATTACTTTTACACAAAACTCATCCACCTCCAACTGATTTCATCTTGCCAGAGGCAGCACAGTGAACGCATTCATATGCGACAGAAATGGATATTCAGGTATGATGCGCTTTCAGCTGTAATGAACGGGAAAATATAAAAGGACATGCCAAAGCAAATTAGAACTGCTCAGCATGTTTATATCTAAAAAGAAATGACTAAGTCACAGCAAGAAGACTTATTGAGCAGTCTGGTCTCTTATAAAAAAAACAACCCTTATCACTCTTTTACTGATACAGCTGGAGCAAAGGTTGGTGAATGATGGTCTTTCATCAAACACAAAAGAACTTCCTCTATAAACAAAGGCTGGGCACACAAATATTGCTCTCACTGTAGTTTCTGCTTATAGTCAACATATATTACCAGTCAAATGTTTGGACGCACCTACTCACTTTAATTTGAGAAAAAAAAGCTCTTTTAGAAATAAAACTATGAAAATCAAACAAATAAGATGGAAATAGCCATCATTTGCCCACATTTTCTCAACCAACTCCAACTTGGATGCTTTTTAAACAGCCAATTTACATTCGTGTTAACAAAAGGTAATGTATCAAAAATACATATATTAATTATATATGATATACAGTTGTATACATATAAATTTATGTGTATGTATATATGCGTGTGTATATGAAGAGTTCAGATGCAAAAGCCTCTAAATGCCATTTGAAATTTTCTTCTTTAATGATGATTTTTATCAAACTTATATATTTAAGTTCAGTAATTTCACTTAAATAACAATTAATAGGTAATTATCATTGCAATTTAAGTGAAATTACTGAACTTAAATATACAAGTTTGATAAAAATCATCATTAAAGAAGAAAATTTCAAATGGCACTTAGAGGCTTTTGCATCTGAACTCTTCATATATTTCTTAATCATAACCAAACAAGTCAGTTGACACGAGTGCATCCAAATGTTTTACTGTTAGGGTATAAGACAGAGCCAACAGATTTATATCTAAACTACAATGGCTATAAAAAACACAAACGCCCACTTGAAATAGTGCCAGGCACTAACACACACACACATCACACACACACACACACACACACACACAAGCCTGAGAAAGATATTGTCATAGGAACTGTTTTGATGGAAATTATCTCTGTTTCTAAAGTGCAGATGGCACATGTTACGGTATCCTCGCATTAGATCACCAGAGTACACTATAGCCATATTTCTGTGTTTGCACAGCACTCTTATCAGCTCTGGGAACAGGGACCACTCCGCTCTGTAGTAAAAAGTGATTGGTCAAGGACGGCTAACAGTCCTCTAATCGGAACATTAGAGCAAAGAAAACATGGATGACTGTTCAGAACAAACAGGTAGGCATTTATTGATCTCTGATGATCGATAAGCGGTGGAAGCAGGGAGTGGAGGATTAGTTATTGCTGTAGTTTTTAATGACGGTGTAACAGAGATTAACCTTTTAAAGTGACATAGTATTATCAAGATCTGCAGATAATGAGCCTGAGGTCAGGTATGAGGGAGGAGACGATGTGGAACAGCTTTTGTTTTCCCTGTCTAGGTTATTTGCTTTTATTTGCGTGTGCTCTGAATGAACCACTGCTATTAGTGTTTCCAGCTTTCCTCGGGCCACTCCATTTAATGCTGAGATTTGCTCCTCAACTCATGCCACATACTGGCTATACCTCGTACTGGTTTAACAGCAGCAGCAATGCCTATCTGTTGCTAAATAAGCAGCTCCATGGCCTCGGAAATTGTGCTAGATGTGTGAGTGGTTGGCTGTAAAAGGTTTCTATGAATTACTTGTCTTCAAACACATAATGACATTTAGTTCTTGTAAATTAGCCTACCTGATGACAGGTGAGGATGAGTGCGGACCAAACGAAAATGCCAGACAAGGCTTGAGCAATGGGGGTGTTGAGGAAGATCTTGTCATCCCCCACTACTTCGGTTCCATTACTTGTCCTGATTACGGTCATGTTAGACATGTCAGTTATATTTGACAGGATTGAGTATGACGACAAAGGGACTGAATTATCCATGTTTTTATCTGAATCCACTGAGAGAGTGCTGAAAGTAGCTGTAGTAATACTGGACTCATTCATCTGTGGGGGAAAAAAAATACAATCATTTTTTAAAAGAAATAATTTAAACTAATTGATATTACATTAGTTATAAATATTTACTTTATCTTTCATTTACAACTTTCTAATAAACTACCGCTCGAAATTGAGGTCACTGTGATATTTATTTACCTATTTGTTTTATTGTTTTTGAATGAAGTCTCTTACGCTTGTCAGCAAGGCTAAATTTATTTGAATTACAAATACAGTAAGATACACTACAGTGTATTTTAAAATGTAATTTATTCCTGCACTGTCAAAGCTGAAATCACTCTAATGTTACGATTTGCTGCTAAAGAAACATTTCGTATTATCAATGTTGAAAATGTATTTAACCATTAAAAAACAACAACAATATTTTTGTGGAAACTGTGCTGTTTTTACATCAGGTTTTTTTTTTTATTATTATTCATTTTTTTATCATTTATTTGTAACAGAAAATTTTTTTTCTGTCACTTTTAATTAATTTATTGCATCCTTGCCGAATAAAAGTATTATTTTCTCTTTTTAAAAAAAATAGAAATTCTACTGACTCCATTTAAACTTTGCTTATTCTCTAGATGAAATATAACAATCTATATAGATTGTACTACTATTTCTATTCCTTCTATTCTTACTAAATTAAATGATGTTACCTTTCACATGGAAAAAAAGAAGCGTTTTTAAAAGAAGGCCTCATAGCAATCGATTTATTATGGTTTCATGGTTACCAACAGCATTTATCATGATATTCTGTCGGAAACTATGGTTTACATGTTTATTTTTCATTAAGTAAATGGGGCGTCAGAGTTCATAACTTACAGAATGTTCCATTACTTACAGCATATGTTGGGAAGCATTTTTTTAAACAAAGACATACGAGATAGAAAAGCTGTCTATCAATCATTAAAATCAAACCTATTATTGTAACACACGACACGGCGAGTTATAGGTATTTATGACACACTTACCTTGTGATCCTGTCAACACTGTGAAGTTCAGTGCGATCAAACTCAAATCACTTTATCCTAAACGTCACTTAACTCTGAACATCGTAGGGGAGCTAAAATAATAAATGCATTGTATACATCAGTCCTTACAGAAATATCAATATGCGACATGTAGCCATAGGTAAGTTAGACACTAGACAGACGGCCCGCGCGACGACACCGATGAGTCAAGCGCGCACTTCCTCGTTTAACTATTGACAGGTCTGATGGAACTCATTCAACTCGGTGAAGACAGCCGCGACGGGAATCTATTTGATTGTGATACAAATCCCGAAGCAAAGAAAAGTTTACACGGCTATTTTCCTAAAGCCTAATCCCCAATTCCACGCCAACAAGCTCGTTGTTCCGTCTCAACAGGTGTACGTACTTCGTCTTCGCGACACAACAGCACACCCAGGTCATGTGACCTTGGCTAGCGACTACAGTCTTTGGTCACGTGACATGACAGGCAGAGACGAGCACCTACCTGTTGGTCAAAGGTAGACAATTGCTACGGCAACGGCACACGGCAATTTCTATGAATAAACTTGAATTTATTATAGAGCTCAATAAACAAGTACCTTAGAAAACATAACTGTGAATACTGATAGAAATAATATAGGATTAATTCAGGTAAACTAGGGCACTGTGATATTTTAAAAGGAGCCCCAGATCACCTTATAATCCTCCAGTTAGTGTAAATGTCAGTAGTGTTTTTGTGGGGTCAAAATGCTCCCATACGTCACTGATTGGGTATAAATGTGTGCAGGCATTTTTAAAAATCTGTAATAAAAGATGTGTATGTTTAATAAATATCATTTTCGTTTTTCAGAGATGTCACAGAAGCTTTTGGGGTCAATTAGACACCAGACATACTAAAATGCTTGACACTGGATACAATAGTGATTAGTTGTAAACAATAATTTATTCTCCAACAGGAATAGAGTGTAGCATTCAGGAGGTAAAAATCCCTTTCACTTTGTCCAGAGGAAATGACTTAAAAACCTTTAAAAGCAGACCTACTGTGAGGAAAGGGGTTGTTAATCGATGGTTTATGCTTTTGTTAAAGACAGCTTGCATTATTTCACTTTTTTTTAAATAATCATGTTTAACAACCAACGTTTTGTAAATATTATATTAACCCATGTGAAGCACTGTGAATGACATAATTGAATCAAGTTTCTCTTAGCATTAAGCAATAAACTTTGAAGTATGTTGTTTCTACATCTTTAAATATTTAGATTTCTCCATTGTTGTTGTATTGATTATGTCATTCACAATGCATCATGGGATAATTATTTCTCTCATTGAAGAAGCTAAGTCTTGTACCTCTGTCATTTTGACTGATTTTGTTTGGTTCATGGCCTATAGCTCTTGAACAAAGACTTAAAAAAAACACTTCCAGAACTTAGGCTGGTAAAAAAGTGGGCGGACACTTTTGCAGTCTAGAATGGTTTGGCAGACTGACAGTTAATGTGATGCAAATGGTGCATGTGTTTAGCCAGGTCCCTTTTTAAAGGCCTTGGGATTGGTGCGAGACATTTAAACAACACCAAAAAAATTCAAGGTAAGAAAATATAACTTTTAATCTTCGACAGCTGAAATACATCCATCATACAGAAGCAAAAAGTAATGATCTTGAACAGTACTATGGTTACACTTTAAAAAAATCAAGGATTTTAAGCTTTGTGCAGTAGCAACAGATTGCAACTAAGGTTATGTCTAAATTCACAGACGACAAGCCATGTGGCTTTTTTTGTTGTTGAAATTCCAGATACGTAATGTGTCCTTATCTAGTGCTTTTGCCGTTTAGCAACCTGTTCACCAAACTTGACAGCCTTTGATCATATCTTTAACAGTTTTCATGGTTTCAGCACTGTTGTCTTTAAGTGAAAGACCCAACAGAACTGGTCGGTTGCCTGATTCCTGTGAGACAAACGTTGTGACATTCTTGGCGTAGACGTGTGTAAGAGGCTACAAAGGAGATAAAAAAAGCTCATAGTGAAATGACAATATCAGCCATACTCATGATAATCCTATAAAAACATACTTTAAAACATACCTCATCCTTTCCCAGCAGTACTCTAGTTGTGAACATGGGTACACTGATGTCACCAGACCTTGTGTCAGGTGTTATCGACACAAGTGTCCCAATTTTACCATACTGTGTCAGAACTATAAAAATGTAGTTGCTGAATTCCGTGCAGACAACTTGAGTTGGTATTCCGTTTATTTCTTTTTCCATTTGTCTTGATCGGATGGCGGGTTGAGGAGCCATTATTTACTTTGTTACACCTGAAAATAAATAAGTTTAGTTAGAAACATCTGACCAAATAATTGTGACAAAACTCTCACAACTGAAAAAGTTTTAAAAAAACGAGAAAGACATGGGATTGGTTATGTAAGTAATAAGCAAATAGAAAAGGAAGCATGCATCGCTTATTCATTCATCTCTGTACAGGAGAAGCTAGAAGCTACAGCGATAGTAGGCCGCATGACATCGCTGCCGTCTAGCTTGTCAAAAGCGGTCAGACGACACAGGAAATACCGAGGCTTCAGAGTCTCAAGCACAATAACAACCGTGATATCGGCAATAGCCGAATGGTATTCAAAGATGCAATGCAAACTGTTAAAACAAATAGCGCAGACGAAACAAAACTTTCTCACCGCTACTTTTAAGTCGTAAATTATCCTCGTAGGTCGAATGTGAATCTGTTTGCTAACATCCCTCAGCGAAGTCAGAGAAGTCCATGCGCTTCTTCCACGCAATGACAAGGGAGGGTAGGGAAAGATGAGAGCAGAGATCAGCTGTGGTGGAGGAGATGGTCGGGTACTTTGCCTGAGTTTTGTTAATTTTTAATTGCATTGTATTTAATTAGCTACGATTTTTAACATAATATTACTAATGATATCAACCATTAAAAATGATGTAGGGGTGGGCTAGGTTAATCTCTTATAAAAAAAAAAGAAAATGAATACCCTTTATTTAGCAACGCAATAATTAATCAAAAGTTTATATAGACATTTGTAATGTTACAAAATGTTTTAAATTATATTCCAAATTAATGCTGTTCTTTTGAACTCTCATTACGGCATGCAAATTTAAACGGCAAGCTTTCGACATTGATAATATACAAAAAAAATGTTTCTTGAGCAAATTAGCATATTAGAATGATTTTTAAAGGATAATGTGATACTGAACTGATGCTGAAAATTCAGCTTTGCCATGGACTGCATTTATATAGTCCAGTGTCCAGCTTTGCCTTTACATCTTAAATTAAATAGAAAAGCGTCATGGGTATAGAATTATAGAATTATTTCAAACATTTAAAAAAAAAATCTTACCGACCATACACCTTGATATGTAGCCTATGCTTAGCTAAAATGAAAAGAAACAAGTTAGATGATTGACAAGAAAACAAAATGTATATAGTCAACTAAATCTGTATTTGTTTTTGAAAAGGCAGTGACATATTTACTTTACAAATAATTCATATATTCACATATCACATTTTTCAAATCAGTGATTCTTAAGAAATGGGAAACATTTTTTTAGTTACTTTAGTTTTAGAATTAGATTTAGAGTAATTTTTACTTCAGTCTTGTGTAATGGCTACATATCATATCGTTTGGGTGCTTCGTAAACGCTACACTGCTCATTTTGCCTGTTTCAAACATGGCATTTCAAAGGAGTCATGCTTGTTTCATATGGAGGTTCAAGTCTAACTATTTTAATTTACGAAGTTTTGTTCAGGTTTTTTGATATATATATATATATATATTTTAATAGACAAACATACAGACGTGTAAATCTATTTCACAATGTTTTGTATTATTCTCTCTATCCACCTGGAACTGCCTGATTGTGTGTGGTTTGCCTGCATAACTTTATCTTCTGGCTCCTTCACTGGCTGCCTCGCTCCTGTCAGTGGATCTAGTGTGGATGTGTCATACTTTTGCTGAGTCTAGTCCATTTGACAGTGTGTGCCATGTTCACTGAGGCTGCTCTTTGTGTTCCAGACTGTAGCTACTCTGCCAGACTTATCCTGAAGCCTTTGAGCTTTACATCTGCCTGAAAGAAGTTGCCATCTTTGCACATTCGTCACAAGGTTGACTAGAAGTGCCAAGGTACTAGCTCTCTTTCTGTTTCTTTCTCTCTCTCTCTCTCTCTCTCTCTCTCTCTCTCTCTCTCTCTCTCTCTCTCTCTCTCTCTCTCTCTCTCTCTCTCTCTCTCTCTCTCTCTCTTGCAGACCATCTGGTGAATGGAGTGTATGTGAATGGAGGATTAGTTCTGTGAAATGTCATTTAAAATGTCACTAATTCACATCAACATACTTGCTTGTTTTAGAATGAAATCAACAGTGCAGTGTCAGTCTGTCATGACTGTTATTGTAGGTTGTTTTCAGTTTGTTTTTCATTCTATTTTAAGTTATTTATTGAAGCCAGAACCTAGTCTAAAGCCAGGTGCACACAGTACACTGTATGATTTTTACGGTCCTTAGTGATTGTTGCTTGTCAGACTGTACAAAATGATCCCAGTGGGATCGGCACACGATAACCATAATATAGCTTAAGCCCTATTCGAATAGGATTAGTTTAACATGGAGTGGTGAAGTAATTATTACCAGAGCTTCTCAGTGATTTTAGTCTCATTAATGTGCCATCTTAGTAATCATTGCGAACAATGCCAGTAAAGATTCCGGCGACATTTACCTTCTGTAAAAAAGTTGCGGAAAAATTACCTCAAGTAATACTAATCCTGTGCGAATAGACCCGCTGTACCTAAATATGTACGTAATTATTCCCTCATTTTGTATATGGAGGCGCTTGAAAAAGCATTCAGTTGCAGTCTAGGTGGTGGGGCAAGTCTGTGGCTAGCATGCATTGGGGAACGCAACATGCACTGGGGTTTAGGACTGTGCTTTTCAACAAGAATGTTGTCAAAATCCAAATAACTTTATAGATCTTGATCTTCATTGTAAAGGGTTTAAACAATGTTTTCCATGCATTTTCAATTAACCATATCAATTCATTAACATGCACATGTGGAATGGTCGTAACAGCTTACAGAGAGTAGGCATTTAAGGTCACAGTTCTAAAAATGCAGGACACTAAAGAGACTTGTCTACCAACTGTGAAAAACACCCAAAGAAAGATGCCCAGGGTCCCTGCTCATCTGCGTGAATGTCCATTAGGCATTCTTCAGGCAGGCATGAGGACTGCTGATGTGGCCAGGGCAATCGATTGCGGGATCGATTTGGATGGGGGGTCCCCACCGCAAAACGGAGCTGCAGCGTTTCTAAACTTCTCCATTTTAGGTCTTTGTTTTTTCCGTTTTAGTCTGGACGGGGGGTGCAAACGTAGCAAAAGGTCTCCGTTTTTAAAGGAATAGTTTACTTTGAAATTAATTTTTGATATTTTAGCTCAAGGGCATCCAAGATTTAGGTGTCTTTGTTTCCACAGTATTTTCAATTTTGACATTTTTTGGTCAAACCGTTGTTGTCTGTCAGTCATAGACTGGAGGTGAAGGGGGTCCTCAATCGGTTCACCTCAAAGAGCATGCAGAGAAGTCAAAATTAAACATGATTTAATGACTCGTACATGTAGGTACACAATGATGGCCTAAGACACGAAACGAGTGGTTTGTGTGAGAAAACGAACAGTATTTATATAGTTTTACCTCTTGTAATCATAGCCATGACAAAATGATCTGACGGCACAGGCGCTTCGGTCTGCTCATGCGCTGGAAGTGATCGCTTGCGCGCCTATGTCACTCTTTGTTTATACAGAGATTTCGGAAGTTTTACCTTTCACTAAACATATTTAGATATACGGGAAACCGCAATGGAAGACGATTTCGGTATCTAAATATGTTTAGTAAAAGGTAAAACTTCCGAAATCTCCACGTAAATATTGAGTGACGTCACACGCAAGCGATCACTTCCGGCGTAACATTGAACTGATTCAGTTCGGTTCAGTTGGACATTGAACAACTGATTCAGATCACTTGGATTACACTAGGTAAAAACGATATAAATACTGTTCGTTTTCTCACAAAAACCGCTCGTTTCGTGTCTTAGGCCATCAATGTGTACTTACATTTACGAGTCATTAAATCATGTTTAATTTTGACTTCTCTGTGCATGCTTTTTGGTGGACCCCCTTAGCAACAACGGTTTGACTGAAAGATGTCAACATTGACAATACTGTGGAAACAAAGACACCTACATCTTGGATGCCCTTGAGGTAAGCTAAAACATATCAAAAATTAATTTCAAAGTGAACTATCCCTTTAAGCAAAATCGCAGCAGTGTGGGCGGGGCCTAAAAAAAAAAACTATAACTAAAACTCCAATACTTGACCTTGAAGTTACATCAATTATTCCATCTGTCACTGTCAAAAACTTTGGTATCACTCATGACCCTTCACTGATCTTCGATGCTTACATTCGTCAACTCGCAAAGCTTAATTTGTTCAACTTTTCCGTTTTGCCAAACTCCGGCCCTATGTCAGCCCAAAAGATGATGAATCGCTGGTACATGCGTTCATCACATCTCGCCTCGACTACTGTAATATAATTCTGGACTACCAGCACATTCGGTAACACTTTAGAATACGGTTCCTTCGTTAATGAATAACTACACAAGAACTAATGACTAACACAATATTAACAATCTAGTAACTATTATTAACTAACAAGAAACTCTGATTAACGAACTAGTAAGTAATAGCGCACAGACGAAAGTGGTAGTTCACTATTAAGTAATCAATAACTACTATTTTTTAAATACTTCCCAGAGAACTACTGAAAAAGTTTATTATCAATCTAGTAACTACTATTAACTAAAAGAAACTCTTATTAACGAATTAGTAAGTAATAGTTCACAGATGAAAGTGCTACTAGATACTTCTGCGGGAATTACTAATTATTTGGATCCGTATTAAAAAAGTGAAGATCATTGGAACTAACTACACTGTAAAACATTTCAAGTCTGTTAAACTTAGAAACGAAAGTTCACCTGCTGCCTTATAAACACGAGTTAACTCAACTTAGATATATTCTTTGTTTCAACTTACAATGTTGTGTTTTACAAGTTATCTAGCTACTGAACATTCGTTGTTTCAACTTGACTCTCTGAGTTTAAACAACTTTGTCAACTGTTGTTTCAACTTGATTCTCCAAGTTAAGACAACTTACTAGGTTACATTATTGAAAACTCATAATCAACTTAAATTGTTTGCTCAAAAATATTTTTATTGTAAAAATGTTCAATGCTGCATAAACTTAACATTGGTTTTATGATAATACATGTTAGGAAAACAGCTTCTACAGTAAGGGATTATTATTAAAAAGTTTCACTATGTTACCTATTTGACAACCATTTCATCTTTCACATACTTTCTTATAGGAACAAAATAGTCTTTACAGTTGTAAATGACAACACCAGCAGTTGTTTTACAGTTTAAAACACTTTTAAAATCAGCTAAACTTAGCTAAACAATTCCATGTTGTTTCTACCCTTGCAGAGCAACTGTGTTGATGACAATTTAAAGGGTTAGTTCACCCAAAAATGAAAATTCTGTCAGTATTTACTCACCCTCATGTTGTTCCAACCCCGTAAGACCTTCGTTCATCTTCGGAACACAAATTAAGATATTTAAGATATTAAGATCACTCCTGCATACAGTCCATAGGCTTCTTGAGGGACTGGCTCTTGCTGTCCTCGAAAAGTCATTAAAGACATCGTTAAAATAGTCCAAGTGACTACAGGGGCTCAATCTTAAGTTTATCAAACGACGAGAACACTTTTGTGCGCAAAAAAACAACAAAAATAACGACTTTATTTCAACTATTCGTTTATTTCTCCCTCTGCGTGAGTCAGGTTACTAGTTTAATAGCGTAAGCTTCTGTTATTGTACGTCACACGCATCACACACACATGACCAGCGTCGGCCAATAGTGAGCCTACGTGTGACGTAGCTCTACGCAATCACACTACGTTAACTGACTTACAGGCTCATGGAGAAGGAAGTGAATAGTTGAAATAAAGTCGTTATTTTTGTTGTTGTTTTTCGCACAAAATTGCTCTCGTCATTTGATAAACTTAAGATTGAGCCCCTGTAGTCACTTGGACTATTTTAACGATGTCTTTAATGACTTTTCGAGGACAGCAAGAGCCAGTCCCTCAAGAAGCCTATGGACTGTATGCAGGAGTGATCTTAATATCTTAAATATCTTAATTTGTGTTCCGAAGATGAACGAAGGTCTTACGGGGTTGGAACAACATGAGGGTGAGTAAATACTGACAGAATTTTCATTTTTGGGTGAACTAACCCTTTAAAGAACAGAATGCAAAGTAACAATAAGTGTCCCCTCAGCAAAAGCTTCAAAATTCTCAAAATTAACAACTTTTTATTAAAGAACTCCAGTCAATTTTAACATTGAGCTATTTTTTTGTACATTTGGAGTGCTGTCAGTACAGACAAAAACGACAAAAATTGTTGTCGCCTACACAGTGTTATCCTCTTTTTAAAATTCGTACCCTGTTGACTTCAATAGGACACGTTCTAAACCTGCTTTTAGTCTCTTAACATCTTTTATTTGTCATTACGAGTGCACAGCCATGTGAGTGGTTTTATTAAGAGTGACCACGGTCAATCTGACTGCAGTAGATGTGAAAGATATTAATATAAATGATGTTAATTCAGCCAGCGCACATATCCGTATTTACTTCCTGTTTTCGGTCGAAGTCCACATTAGTCGATTGTCGAGTTTGTGCGCATGATCATTGGTATCCAAGCAATAACGTGCGAACTCGACAATCAACTACTTTGGACTTCGACCAAAAACAGGAAGTAAATACAGGTATGTGCGCTGGCTGAATTAACATCATTTATATTAATATCTTTCAAATCTACTGCAGTCAGATTGACCGTGGTCACTCTTAATAACACCACTCACATGGCAGTGAACTTGTCAAGAGGCTAAAAGCAGGTTTAGGACATGTCCCATTGAAGTCAACAGAGTACGAATTTTAAAAGGAGAATAACACTGTGTAGGCAACAACAATTTTTGTCATTTCTGTCTGTACTGACAGCACTCCAAATGTACAAAAAAAATTAGCTCAATGTTTAAATTGACCAGAGTTCTCCTTTAAAAACACATCTAAACATTTATGCTTCTGTTAATTTTCAGCAGTACTTGGGTTTTACTTGAAATAGTCGGTAATATCAATTTTGAACAGTGTCAAATAACTCAAGTGTCAAGTGTCCTCCAAAGACTGCAAACATAACATGTTACCTCCGATATATGGTTTGAGACCAGTCTATAAATTATATCTCAGCAGTTTGTTTCGAAGTCCATGTATATTGGCAGAACAGTGGTCAGTTTTAATCTTCATGATCACTTTCTGCAGGAATTCGAAGGAGTAGGTTAAGGCAGTAGATTGTGCCCATTAACAGAGCAAAGCCAGTGGGTATGTCTCTGAGATTATGGAGAACAATTGTCTCTTCTACCACCACAGCCACGTTGGAGACATCAAGAGGAAATGCATCATTCAGGACACCTTCGTGTCCAATCAGTAGACCAACACGCATTCCCTTCATAATGACATCCAGGGTTTCACCATGAACCTAAAACAAATGGACAATATCAATCCTTATTTAAAAGTCGTGTGATAGATTTGGTCTATAAAATTATAGAAATGGTCCAATAAAAGTATGACAATTGCCATTTCATGATTTTACTTCATTTCAATATATGCTCTACAAGGCTGGGATGACAGTCAAAACAAGCCACTGGAGAAGCACTAATTAGGCTAAAAGCCCCAGTATGGTCAATCATTTATTATAAACAAAGACTAAAATGAAGCTAATTAATTAATTAATTATTATTGACTCTGGAATGCAAAGAAATGTTAAAATCACAAAAACTAAATCATGACAGTAAAGAGAATACATTTTTCTTCATCCCTACTGCTCTGAATTCAGTATTATTAGTATGTTAACAACAATGTGTAAATATATTTTCTTACATCACACATCTTGGTTATATCCGAAGTATCCTCTGAAAAGAAGTGTGGAAGACCAAGTAAGGCAGCTGTTCTTCTGTTCTGATTTGTGTCCTACGAACAATTATAAACAAGACTAAGTGACTGGCATTATACAAATTAGAATCCCAATGTTAGTAAATATTATGTATGTTATCAATTTAGATGTCTCGATTCAATTTCGATTCACAAGATCTCAATTACCACAACAAAGTAATAAATTAATAAAATAGTTATTGTTTTTGATCCATGTATCCTTATAAATGTTGAAACCCAAATTTTAGATACCACTGAAATTTAAAGTGATAGTTCACTTTGAAATTAAATTTTGGTGTGTTTTATCTTACCTCAAGGGCATCCAAGATGTAGGTGTCTTTGTTTCCACAATATTTTCAATTTTGATATTTTTCGGTCAAACTGTTCTTGTCTGTCTGTCATATAATGGAGGTCTATGGTCACCACCTCAAAGAGCATGCACAGAGAAGTCCAAATTAAACATGATTGAATGACTCGTAAATGTAAGTACACATTGATGGCCTAAGACACGAAACGAGCGGTTTGTGTGAGAAAACGAACAGTATTTATATCGTTTTTAGGAAGTTTTATCTTTCACTAAACATATTTAAACATATATGTTTAATTTGGACTTCTCTGTGTATGCTCTTTGAGGTGGTGACCATAGACCTGCATTATATGACTGATAGACAACAACGGTTTGACCTAAAAAAATATCAAAATTGAAAATACTGTGGAAACAAAGACACGTACATCTTGGATGCCCTTGAGGTAAGCTAAAACATACCAAAAATTAATTTCAAAGTGAACTATCCCTTTAACAATTTTCTATTCCATATGATACCACAGCTAAAACTATTAACACCAATTTCAAAGATTATTAAACAAGTAAACAGTTATAAAAAAAACAACAACAAATAATTACATAATAATAATAATAATAATAATGAAGTAATCAGTGCTTTTCAGGTGGGCCTATCTGTATTTTTTAGAAACCAAAATTGAATTAAGTAATCAAATGTAAAATAATTAGTTCATTGTTATTCATACCTCCTTATCAAGGCACTGCATAACTCTGCTAATGCTCAACCTCCTGCTTGACGAGACTTTGTACAGCTCTAAAAAAATTGGCACCAAGGCATCTAGTCCATTTATCACTTATCTGAAACAAACACATAAGACAGCAAAGATTGAGAGAGGGAAAATATGAAAATGATTCCACAGGCATATGTGAACCTCAAATTTATTTAAATCAGCCATGTCACTACTATCCATTTAAGCAAATACATAATTTCCTTGAAGTTTAACTTGCTGTGAATGTCTGGGTTGGCACTAGTTACCTGTCTCTCATTGAAGAGTGCAGGCCATCTGTCCCTGACTACAGAGATGAGTGGCTTGTCGGCAATGATTTTCTTTTCTTTGCTGAGAGAATGTTGCAGTCATCAGTTCATCAAGAAGCTGCAGGTCTGGATCACACTTTTGGACCTCTAAAAGCATGCTCTTCCGATACTCCTCTGGTTTAAAGCATTTGCGAAAAAAAAAGAGCATGATCATATAACCTTGGTTAGATGATGACAGAAAAACGGATGCATTAAATATTTTACCTAGCTAAAGATAGACAAAAATTACCGCATGCATTAACGTTGACACGGACAAGCACTGCTTGTCATCATACATTGCTGACAGAAAATGCTGCGTTATAAATCAAACTCGTTTTGATGGTAACGTTAGGCCTACACAACTTACCTAGCAGCAGTTAACGCACCCTGTCCGTATAGGAAATTATGCCCGTGGGATAATCATCCTCAGGTTTCTTGAATTTACGCTCCACGCTTTCACAGACGACGCAACGCGTTGGATCTCAATCACACTGTGACAGGACCCGCCCTGCTCTACTTCTGATAACGGTAGTCTTGCAACGAGAGCTGCATTCATCTCACACTGTATGATCGGTAAAGTTAGGTGAAAATCCATTGACTCGAAAACATTAGATCGCATTCAAGTTCACAATTTTTTTTCCTCACGGCCGCACGCCGGAGATCACTTTATCAGCCCTGACCCAGTTTTATTATATAACGGGGTGATATTTTAAGCGCCTTTGCAATGCATTACTAATCTCTACAAACTAAGATACAAATAAAAGCTAACATTTTCAAAACCAAGCGAAAGAGAGCAAAGACAGTTTGAAGACAGTGAAACGGTGCGCGGCCGGGGCTCTCTCTCGCGCTCGTTCTTCAGTAGCAGCGACAGGCCTAAGTTAATCTTGGCACTGAGTTTTGTCGACAGTCGGAGGCAACACGAAATGTGACGGAGGCGACTACCTCGTAATTTTCCAGGCCGGAAAAACCCTGCAGTATTTTCGGATTAATTAATTCATATTAATTTAGCTGTCCTACACTACACAGAACACCTCAAACACGATCGATTTCCACTTAACGTTAATGAGCTGTGTAATGTTGGCTAATGCTAATGCTATGGCAACAGACATTTGTCCATGCTTTTCCGCTCCAGTAAGTAACGTTATAAGTTACGCGTTTACTACACACCCACCAACTAACAAAAAAAATACGGTATAAGCTATGAACCAAAGTGATATATTAAATTATTTTACCATTTGTGTTCTGGTAAAAGGTGAACTGGTGGGAGAAAACACCATGGCGTCGTTAAATTCGCAAAGCACAGTCAATGTGCTGCTTATAACAATTAAAACGTAATGTTCTTATTCATTTAACGTTATAATTAGAAATTAAAAAGAAAAACTCACCTTCCACGGATATTTTGTGTTTTTCAGCATGAATTCCCGTATGACTCCTGCTTGCAGCTGCGCTGGCACAAAATGGCGACAACTCCTCTCTGTATTTCGCGGTATTTGCTCTGTATCACCCCTCCCCCAACGTTAACTTACAGCCACGAGTTAAATGAACATTTACAAGCCAGACAAAAATCACAATTAGTCAACATAACGCATACCTTTAAGTTTAATTTTCTAAAACTTGTACACTTGAGTTCAATTTCCACAACTTAGCATTGCAAGTGGAGTTAAAGACAAGAAGTAAGTTTATTTAACTTAATGGGGCTATCATGTTTTACAGTGTAGTAATTACTCAAGTGTTACTAAAGACATTTTCTAAAAGTATACTAAAGTTCACCAAAAATCTCAAACGTTTGCACAAATCATGACTAGATCATGTAGTAACACTTGAGTCATTACTAGTTAGTTCCAATGATCTTCACTTTATAATACGGATCCAAATAATTAGTAATTCCCGCAGAAGTATCTAGTAGCACTTTCATCTGTGAGCTATTACTTACTAATTTGTTAATAAGAGTTTCTTTTAGTTAATAGTAGTTACTAGATTGTTAATAAACTTTTTCAGTAGTTCTCTGGGAAGTATTAAAAAAAATAGTAGTTATTGATTACTTAATAGTGCACTACCACTTTCATCTGTGCGCTATTACTTACTAGTTTGTTAATCAGAGTTTCTTGTTAGTTAATAATAGTTACTAGATTGTTAATATTGTGTTACTCATTAGTTCTTGTGTAGTTATTCATTAACGAAGGAACCGTATTCTAAAGTGTTACCGCACATTCTATCTCACGTTTGCAATATATTCAAAACTCTGCCAGAGATTACTACTTACACCAAACAAACTGCCATATGACTCCAATTCTGTTCAAACTCCACTGGCTGCCAGTGTCTTCCTGCATTACTTACAAAATAATCTTTCTTACCTTTAAATCACTCAATGGTCTTGCTTCTCCTTACGCTCACCTTATATTCCCCCTTTCGTTTTAGCCCTAAGCTTTGGAACTCTCTCGGTCATGACACGTTTTTCTTAAACATTCTTCATAACTTTGTATTACAGTCATAAAATTAAATTGTATACCATTAGTCTTTTGCATCTTTACTTCAACTGTCCACCTTCCTGTCTGTATATAGTGTTGTTTTTGATGCTATTTAAAAATGAAATGCGGTATGCAACTGCAATCGCTCGGACTGGGCAAATGTCTATTGTCCATTCATGTGTGAACTGATTGTTTTTTGTACTGTTATTGTGAAGCGTCCTTGAGCTTGGAAAAGGCGCTATATAAATTAAACTTATTATTATTATTATTATTATCATGTAAAGTGAAACTTGTTTGCAAAAACAAATCTCAAATGTGCCATTTTTCCTCCAAAGCAGCATAATTACTCTCAGCTATTAGCATTAGGTAAAATGGGCATGCATGTTATAAACATGCTGTGAAGTGATTTGCTGTTCAAAGTGCTATAAAGAGGCACCAATCAGAAGCTTTATGGGTTTTGTGCGCCGGAGCCCGAGGAAGGAGCAAACGAAATGCCTATCATGGTCGATAAAAGGAAGGAACAAGCACATTCATTGTTCATGAACACCTCCCACTGAAGAGGACTATCATTTTAATATCTCTTTTATGTTCTGCTGGAAATATGCATGTCGTTTGGGTTCTTTCTGTTCCCACAGCGGAAAGATAAGTCTGATTGGCTGGTGGGATTTAATTAGAGGTACATTTTATCCTTGTGTAAGCCTCACATTTTGCCACATACCTACACTCTTTTGTTCAGACTCCCTTTCATTGATGTTCTGAATGAGAACAGGATTATATACAGACGTGATGGACGTCCATTTTTCAGGTTGGGGGACATGACTTAAAACGTGATATTTAAGATTTTTGTTCCATTCATGTCGTGAGCAATTATTCACATTGATTTGTCAGAATCGTGACAATGGAAACATTAAGCACTGAATGTTGCCGTTACTCCCTACAGTTTTAGAATTTAAAGGAATAGTTCAGCTGAAAATTAAAATTTCGTGTTGTTGCTGGATACAACTTTTGGGTGAGTAAAATAATGACTTTTTGATTGAACTATCCCTTTAATTTAATCAAATAAAACTGATGTAGATAAAGAAGATACACCTGGATGTATGTTTTGGACATCTTGCTATGTCTTTCATGTGTGGAGTGCAGCTTCCTGTCAGAATGTGTGTTGTCAGATTCAAAGAGTCGGAGTTAAGGCTCGGGGCGCACCGCAGACCCACATATCCCTGAAAGAGTGCACTCACCAGGGGTTAATGAGAGCTGCCATGGGTCGGTTACCTCACAGAATGCTTTCTGCTCCATTGATATGACAACCCACCCCTGGCAACAATCATCTGTGTGTGTTCTGCACACCCACAGACACGCAGAGAACAGTTGCGGGTATGTTGAGTTAAACATGATAAGGGTAAAAAATATAGGGTTGGACTAGGAATTGAGAGAAAGTTTTGGACTAGTGGTTAGAATCCTGTACTAAATACTGGCTCTAAATGATTTCCGTGATATTTTGTGTAATCTTAATTTCTTTCGCCAGTGTGGATGGAATGCTATAAAATACAAAGTGGGGTGTATTTTTTATTTTTTTTTACACTGTTGACACAAGTCGGAACACGGTTCTCGGTTTTCGGCCGATTGAGTAAGTTAAATTTGCGATTAAGCTCGTTGATAGGAGAGATCATTCTGATTGGCTGTTCAGCTTGAACCAGCATACGGTTAGAAAAACGGAAGTGAGGAAAGTCAGTCTTTTGGTTTCTCTTGTAAAATATCAAATACAGACTACTTCCACCTGCTGGTGTGGAGAGTTATGGAAAATAAATATAGTTTTAGAGTTTTTAGCAAAAATAAATTAATTTCAGTAATTTGAATTTGATTATGAAGTGAAATTATAATGAATTTTTTCTCTCTTTGGAATAACATGCGCAGGATCATTCACAATGAGACCAGGAATGTTCTTAAAAAAGTAAATGGAGTTGATTTTGATTTCCTGTTGACTTTAAATATCCAACAATCATCAGAGTTACTTCCTCCTCCTTTCACTGTTATCACAAACAGCCTTATGCATATTCATGGGCATCTACGTCACATGAAATACATCATCAGCACTCTTTGAGAGAGGTTGAATGCACCAGTTCATCCACGGCATCGGCGTCTCAGTCGCTTGGAGTCTGATTCATGTTGATCTGTAAGGCTAGATTCATGATGTGAGTGGAAGTCAACAATACATGTAATGAAAATTGCTCTTCTACCATCTGGAGCCTCATGTCAGGGGCTCATTCATGAAACAAGTGTACCAACGAGGACACACACACACAAGAGAGAAATGAATATGTTCCTCAAGTTACCACTAGAGTGCTGTGCAACATTAGAGATAGCATTCCCACAATGTTTGGAGTTAAACACACTGACTGCATTAGAATTGTGGCCTTTTAAAAGCAGGCTTCACATTATGGATTTCCCATAATGCTCATAGACTCTTGAGTATTGAATCACTCTTAAATTAATGCCTGACATTTAAAAAGCTTTTTTTTTTTCCAGACGTTCTGTGATATTTAACTACTGTATAATGAACATGCTTTGAATAATTGTTCCAGGAATGCTTTTTGTTGTTTTTATTGTTGTAGTGTTGTTGTTTAACATTTAAAGCACATGTAGTCTCTAGAAATTATTCCATTGGCAAACTAATAGTCCTTGAAACATAAAAAAACTAAATTAAAAAAAAAAACCTAGGCCTAATTGAGATTCATATCAACACAAAAGCAGAACAATTTTGTTATATATCTTGGCTACATGGCTAACTTAAAGACAGTTGGAAAGATCCAGTTCAAATGAACTGTTGCCAGACCATCTTAAATGCAAATTACAGCAAAGCCTATTAAACAAACATATTTAAAAGAAAGAAGAAAAGAAAATTCAGAATGAGTACAAGCATGGTATTTTAGCTTAGAATTAATATTACAAATACACTGTAAATATAAATTGAGAAAAAAAATTGAAAAACAAATTACATTTTAAAATATAATAAAATAGAAAATACTTGTAATGATTTTTCCTAATATTACTGTAACGCTCAGTTCAGTACGTTTACACAACAACAATGTTCTTTTCTTATTTTCATAGTCAAAACGATCCCAGTTCACACGGATCTGCGAAAGCGACTAAACATTATTAGTATTATTCATGCAAGGCCAGTTGGCAATTCCACTTTGTAAAGAAACACTACGCACCTACAGACTTAACGCGTAATAGGCTACGCATGCACAGGACGTCACCGTTTTTACAAATTCACGTTTTTTTGGGATGGCGGTATTGTTCACAAAAACGTTGCACTTTGAATTCTGTTTTCAAAAGTTTGCATTTTCAGGCCCCCAAAATGTAAATTCAAGGCCAAAACACATACATTTCTTGGCTTTTTTGGTTGAAAATGGTGTTGTGTAAATGGCCCCAGTTTGTATTTCTGTGTTTTCATTTGTTGTCATGGCGACTCATTGTTTCATTGATTTGATTCACGTGCTCCTTGTTTAGCTGTTTGGTTTCTGTTTATGTATAGCTCTTAGTTTTAGACATTCTCGGTCGATTGTATAGTCGGTTGTTTTTCTCCTGCGTGTTTGTTGTGAAAAAATGTAACTGCTGGGAACAGATCCTGCTTCAACTTTTGTACTCTCTATCTGCAACAAACCGTGACAATTACTGTTTTACTGCATTTTTTTAAAAAATCTAAAATGCAGCCTTGGTGAATATAAGGTACTTATTCCAAAAATAAATCTTTCAACCTTTAAATGTTTGTGTCTGTTTTTTCGTTCAGGTTTTTTTTTATATTTTATATTTTGTATTTTGTATTTCTTCATTGCCTTGGCAGTCAATGCAGTGTAGGTGAAACACTGATCTTTAACCCTCTCATCTAATTCAGTGACTGTGTTCAGTGGTGTGAGGTGACTATATCTCTAGTTCTGGCGGGCAGGGCAGGGCAGGACTAGTGGAGGTGGATGTAGACAGTCACACTGATTAAGAACCTCCGCAGTGAGAGAGCAGGGCAGCAGCCTACTCCCATGATACCGGCTGACCTTGCACAATTCAGCCCCATGAAGCCAAGTCACAGTCATCCCTCTGCAAGAAAAGCTTGCTGACCATATGGGTCATGCCTAAAAACACTGTTTCCCTTCCTGTGTTACAAACTGCCCCCAACCTAGAAAACTGCACACATAGCATTTAATGTAGCAGCAGCCTATAAAATGC